AAATATATAAAACTAAAATTATTTTGATCAGTTTTTCCGCCATTATAGAAAACTACTACTGTGATTAAAACAAAACAAAAATAAACTAAATCGAAACATTCTCCCAGTCAAAATGAAAATATGGATCAACATGACTAGAGATAAAAGATACCGACCGGTTCTTCGTCTTTATTTTTTATAATTGATGTTAATAGTAATTTTAAATTTGTGCATTTCATCGATGTTACAAAATCTGTTGAATAAAACAAAAGGAAAGAAAAACAAAAGTTTTGCACTTGTAAAATACTCACCTATTACCACACGTCGAAACGTATATAATTAACAGAGTATTATTCAGCAAAACATGAAAATCTGATATATTTAAGTACAGTTTACTGTTGTTCACAAATTGTTTAAGTATATAAATCACACAAAAAATCTCATTGTAAAAATTAAATCATGTAAGTATTTTGACAACACTGTCATGTCTTTGTCATTTTCTAATAGACTTATAATGAATGATTGGTGAAGTGAAATATTACTTAACTCGTTTTTAAGCAGCTGTATATGCATGTAATGGAAACTTTGTGATGAGTAAAATAAAGTTGATACCTGGATTTATAAATTTAGATTGGTTGATATTGTATATGTGATGGATTAAATTACGACCTTTACAGGTATTGATCAAATACTATTTTTAAACGGGATGTGAACCTCCTAGTTATTGTATTCAAACAAGTAATGTACACTTGTTAGTCGTTTTCATGATCAAGAGGATCACAGTAAACAACTTTACTAAAACTTAACGTTGTTCTCTTCAGTTTTGTTCACATTTCTTATTAATTATTTTTGTATGTAGACTTGGTTTGTTCATATAATTTGTCTTTAGGTTTACTATATAACATTTCATGTCTGCCTTTCCAAAATTTGACCCACTTTAAACAGTGAAATATATATTTATTTTTATATGATATTATAATAGTAAGAACAGACATTTAAAAATTCTTATGCTGAATGACTTTCTCATTCATCTTTAAAGCATGTATCTTAAATGAGTATTCTGGTGCAGTAAAAGAAAACAAAAGCCTATATATGATAAACGGTATAACAGAAGAAGACACGGTTTGCTAGTCAAAATGTGTACACCTTATCTTCAAAACTTCCATTTGCAAAGCATAAGTATTCTTTGATGTCTGTTTCTACATGTCTGCTATTCTTCAAAACACTATGAACGCTCCATGCATCCAGATCCAACACCCTTCTCTTCTCTGCTGCATATCCACTGCATACTACATATAAGCTTCGTTGTAAACGGTACACACCACAGCGGTACACAATTCTAAATTATCGAGACAACCTGACTTGCTAATAATAATTTCCAGGTATAAATCACTGAGAAATAGATATTTCATCGAATTTATGACTTTGGATCTTCATTATTCCTAATCATATATTTGAAGGATGTAGCTTTCACAGCTGTTAATAAATGTGACTATTCTGAAGAATACTAAAGCTGTCAGTAGCATCTCGGTTATGTAACTTTTAGACATGTACAACTTTTTATTTCATCAAGAATCCATGAAAATAGCATTGATCATTGAATATTATATTAGATACATCAAATAAATAAACACTGGCTCCCTGTTCTCTAAAATTGACGTGATAAGTAACGAACAGACAGAACTGAATAACACAAACTGACAACGAATAATTTTAATGCTCATTAATAATCTATATTTCACTACACCACATAGACATTAATAACAGGAAACCCAGCCTGTTACTTTGAAAATTTGTCATTTGGCGAAACTACAATTCTTTATATCTCATCATTTTAACTAATCTTTCAGTTATCCCCTTTGCTGATACTCCTGAGTAAATAGTTATCAATTTTTATTAGAACATGTCCCAATTTTTCCAATGTACTCACTATGTAGCAATTTATTTAAGATAAATAGGCTTTGGTTATTCAGCCGTGAGTGTTACTATACAGGATGATTCAAATCCTTATCTAATGAAAATATAGACACCATACTCATTAGACACATTAGTGAATATTTTGAACTGCACGGCCTAGTGAATAACGAGTTGACATATGAACGATTCTGGGTTAGAGTTTTAACATGAATATCAGGTACATCCAGCCCACAAGCTTAAAATATGGTGAAACACGTGCCTTACAATTTACTCCTATCCATAACTTGTTCACTCCATATAACTCTCTGTATTTTCACCTTAGATAAAAATATTCACCATCACCTCATTTCTTTTTGTGTGATTTATCATTTGAAGTTCAGATTTTTTCGCCCATCTTGTATTTGACCTAAATATTTAGTATGATAGTCATTCTCTTCAAATGTTTCAAGTTCACTGTTGAAGTCAAACTTCAAATCTCTATTTTCTAGGCTACATATAAGAGTTTAAATATGACGAGTACTGTACCAAGCTTAATGAACAGTCTTTAATTCCAATGACTAGCAATAATCCAACAGCGTTTTCATCCTGGATTCACATGGATTCGACAAAAACTTTCTGTGTACATTTATGCCTTATAATAATATAAAGAAGTAAACGCTTTGCTGCCCCAACAACTTTTATCTTTATAATATTTGCTCATTTGCGATCATTCAGTTAAACATCACATCAATTTGAGAAAAATAAAATTGCACATTCACAAACACACACATACACACATACACAAATAAATTAGTTCCTTATCAAAATAACCAAAATTCTAATTGTGTGTTATTCATTGTTCGCATTAGTTTCTTTTTTTGTGTGTGTCATAGAGACCAGCTAAATACTTTTCTTTTTTAAACGTTGATTTTAATGCTCTGAAGAAGTTTGTATTCGTTTACCTAAATGAACCATTGCAGATCTGTTTTGAATTTTAATCTTTGACATTGTTTCAAATCAAAGTTTGGCATCTCTTTTGTCTTTTTTTTTAATGCAAATACTTAAAGCTCAATTTGTGTCAAACTGGTAGTTTAAAGTTTGACAAATACTACTCAACTAGATTAACCATTTGTTGTCTTATTATTATTATTATTATTATTATGGTTATTATTATTATTACAAATTTTTCTATTCAAATGTACTTATTATTATCAATTAACCTCACTTTGATTCATTCATTCATTCATACACTAAATCTTCATGACCTTAGTTTTTTTTATATTCAAAATATTTTTGTCTATTTAGTCTGTTATTATTAAGACAGATAAGTGATTAACCTTACACTGTGATTATTATTAATAACGTGGTCAGTATAACTAGAAATTATCAACTTGAAAACGATATGTTTCGTGTTTTTTGTATGTTTGTTTTTTTTTTTGAATTTTAGCTTTCGAACTTGGATTAAACTTTCTTGTTTAAAATTATAAATTATTTGTTTAGCGCTGAATCTATACATGTGTGTTTTATGTGTATATATACAAACAGACACACACACACAGATTAATGTGTACTGCTACTACTTTTGCAATATGCATTTAGAAAAGGTGCAATCTTTCACAGTATGATTCAGAGTGCATAATAAAATTTTACCGAAATACGCAAAATAAACAATATTAACAAAAGTTGCACAAAGTTGTTAACAGTTTACACTAAGTAGTCTATAGTTAATGTCTTAGTTATAAAATATTCTCTTTCAAAAGGTAATATTTATTAAATAATAAGCCAGTAAGACAAACTAACATAATGAATCGTACAAAATTGCCTGGCATCAATTAAACTTATCCTATGTAGGTAGTGGATCGGTGAAAATCAATAAAAATAATATACCGGTAAAGTAAACGAAATGGAAGCATTTGGTTTTGTTTACATAAAAAAAGCAATAAAACACTACTAATGATGCTGGTATCAAATTTAAACCGTGCTACTTAGGGTATTTAACATAGAAATTTACAATATCCAGCATAATTCATACTCACACTGAAGGATTTATCTCTTGTCTCAAGATTATTGTCAACACAAGAGTACACAGAAAAAATAGTTCTGTTCAGTGGAAGTCTTATCAAAATCTAGTATTCTGAACATCGTAAGCGGCAGTGCAACAATATTTGGTGCATTTTACTGCATTCGTATATGCAAAATGATGTTGGATTAATCAGTGTTGATAATAAGAAATCAAAGAGTCGGACAATTTGATCAATTAACCTATACTGAATCATCAGTTATAATAATTCAGTAACTATCAGTAGATTAACTCAAATACAAAATATCTGACTAATATTTACAAACTTATACTACCCATGAAGCAGACAAGTTGTACGTTTATCTACCAACGAAAGAACAGAATGGACAAAAATGAAATTGGAATGATCAAAGCCAGGCGAACGTAACTTTTAATGGTCCGAGATATTTATACATTACTAATATTCATTCATATTATGGTTAGGTGTAGTCTACCTAATAAAGACAGTTAATTGTTTGATAAGGCAGTAATAATTAATAATGAAACTAGGATGAAACAGACTAAGATGCATCGCCATTCCATGTAGTCACCGATAGTCTAAAGCCAAAAACTTTAGGTTGAATTGGACCTGAATTGTAGATCTTCTTGTGTCCTATCATTCTGTGTAACTTGAGTTTTATAATGTCTCGCACATCTCATTCACCTATTAGATTATGTGTATTTCCAAACGACATTTTCAATGCTCAATTTAGTATGAATCTCAAGGTCATTTTATGATGATTTTTACTTTTTATTTTATCTGTAAGAACATAACACAAGATACAATGGCTACATTAACTTATTCAAAAAATACACATGTAAAATTCCGATAAATATCAGCTCAGATCATAGCCAAATCTTTGGAACTTTCTAAATAAACTCAACACTCAAAGAACTTTACTCGTATTTGATTGATCAGTATTGAAAAAATAACAGTGAATGTACAATTTTGTTACTACGGTTACCATTTTGATCAAAATATATTTTCGTTTTGCAAATTTAATTATTTAGGAGAAACATGATTACAGAATTATATTTCCTAAATGACATACTGACTGTTTCTTTAAGCTATGAGAATGATATTTTTAGAGGGGATTACAAACAGTCCTTGAGTGTATTGCCCTATTATTCTATAGTTTCCAATGAATTAACCGAGGATAATAGTTCCTAATAAAAAAAACTACAATAAACGACTTGTATTTTGTCTTTATATTGTGCCATTTTAATTAAATGAGATATCAGATTCAACTCAGGATAAATCAAATATAATCTATTAACAACTACTGAGATAGTAATCATTTTTGCTAGATAAAACTCTATACAAAATCATCCCTACCATATTTTAGTACTGATGTGATTGGTTTTAACAGTGCTTCAACAATTGTTGTATTATCAGGATGTATATTATAAATTAGATATAATATATCAAATCCATTATTCTTCTCATCCTTCAATTCATTTTCTTCCAATTCACTGGTAAATTGTAAAGCAAAATATTCTAGAAATTATAACATAAAATAAAAAATTAACGACAATTTAATGACAAAACATTTAACATCATACAATCACATAAGCATAACTTTCTTTTTTGTAACACAGACATATCGCTGCAAATGCATGAATAATATCGAATTGAATAAATGTTTATTTAAATAAATAATAACAGGTGATGAAGTGATGTTTTTTTTTGCGCTAAATAGTCCAGTCTTACAATAAATGCGTTTTAATCAGTTAACAGTTACTTAAAGCTTTACATTGGAACACGTTTCCAAGCTATATTATGATTATCAAAAGATTAAAATAACAATATGAATGGCAAAACAGATCAAGAATAGTGTAGTGACAATAATAATAATGATAAAAATTAAACATTGAGAGATTAGGGTTTAAAAAGAAGGAATCCTAAAATTCGAAATTGAAATGTTCACAATTCAATTTATTCATAACGGTAAACTTAAAAATATCTACAGGTATTTTTGTTTGAATTTTATTTCAACTTTCTTTTGCTGTGTGTAAAGTATGACTGTTATTGATTGGAAAAATGGAAATTAATGTTATAAGTTAGTTGTTTTATAATAGGAAAAGCAATGAAAAACAAAATGTCTATTTGACATTCAACCAATCATTCAACACAATCGCATCATCATCTATGCATACATTGATGGCAACAAAAACAAAACCCTGTTTAGAATTTATCATTATAACCAAACTAAAAAGTGGTTAGTGAATGTTTATTAGTCTATCTACCACTAGAATGAAGTTCACTAAAATTAGAAAGTATGTGTACACTTGGTGGAATAGAATTACTTTACGATACCTTTTGAGGCATATTAATAATGCGGTAAAAAAAAACATTCAAATCAGAAAATGTTTACATCTCTGAAAACAGGCATCGAGTAATCGATGAATATTACAGTCAGTCTTTTATGATCATCGTAGACCATGAATCCGGCATCTTACACTCTTATTGTCTAACTTTAATCAATTTACGATATTGAACAACCTTAATTGATCGCCTGCAGTGAATAACTATCTCAGATCTAACATAGTCGAAACCCACCTGTTACAGATTTTACTAGAACGTTAAGGGTTTCAGCCTGAAGTTAGTTACTAGTGAGCCTATGATTATTATGGGAATAGGGGTTTTGTGAATGCGTTACTGGTCTAAAAGTATGAAACTCCTGAAAGTTTCATAGGTCCTCTCCATACCACGAATCAAATCATTTTAGTGTAGTGTAGCGTAAGATTGATTCAGACATGTAAATTAATAGATGATGGCTCAGTAAACTTAAGCTTGAGAGCTACCAGTGAAACCTGAAAGTCCTTTCCTGTATCCGTAGTTGGATATACACCACCGAGGAGTCCTATATTAAGACAAAATGGCCGTTCGAAACTTCCTAGATTTTAGTATTTTTTAAAATAATATCACTTCGTAATGTACGCTATACATAATATTTTATTCATTATCCAAAAATAGCTAACAATACAAAAAGCACAACAATCAGTTATCTCAAAATGTAACGACAACAGTTCCAAGAAAATTGTATTCGAGGAGAATACTTTAAAGTGAACAATTCAATAATAAGTGCACAACATAAAAACCCTGTTTTGTAATCCGCAGCTCAAGGGTGATATACGAGAATGAACCGAAACTTATGAGTTGAAATCCGATAATCCCTATTTTCAATTTCAATTAATTTAGATTTTGTTAAAAATAGACCATTCAATTTTCATCGGCGCACGCGACAATAATGCCTCCTTAGTTTCAAAGATTTTATAGGTTCTTACTTATTTTCAGGAAATAATCTTTTTTTTCTACCATTGAAACTTACGGGTGGTAAAATCGATTTTCTCCCCAGTAGTGAGTAACGATGATCATTTTGATTCCATAAACAAAATGTAGGGATTATAAAAATACAACAACAAACGATATGCTAGATAAATAAATCAAGTTACGTAACAACACGGGAGAATATATCATAGAGACACATTGTTATCATTGTTGTCAATGTTTTCGTTGTCATTGTCTTGTTTGTATCGAGATGACGAGAGTTTTTCTCGTGCTTATCATGAGAAACATTTCCATTTAACTACTAGAAACAATGATTCAATAGCATGTTGAAAGAAAACTCTTAATTTACCAGGATAACAGAAAAAAAACTTATTCGAAACAACAATCTATCATAATAAGAAAAAAAATGATTTGTCTGAAGAGAAAATAAACAATTTTTTTTTAGAAAATCAGAAAACACATTTCATGCGCCGCTGCATAAAATCAAAAACTATGGGCCTGACAAAATGTGGTCTCGAATTATTTTTTGTTTTGAATTAACGATTACTGAAATTCGTCCTTGACTACTTGTATGATTGAAATAAAAAAAGATTGTAAATTTCACTAACTCAACCAGTGCACACGTATACACACAAAAGAGACGTGACAGAGTATAGAGATGTTTAAAAATACTCGCCTGTTTACAAAACTTGAATTGACTTCATTTGTTTGAAATTATTTTTCAAACGATTTTCTTTCTATGTATATATGTATGGTGAATAAATTCACTTTACGCTTAATCGACGGTTGTCTGGACTAACTGACTTGGAATCCGATTTATCCTTCGAAACACATGCAATCATCCAACCTAATTTAGATTAAATATATCAAACAGATAGTCTGATGTTCATTTCTTCTTTAAATGACTTTGAAGTGAGCTGTGTATACCAAAATGCTGATCATTATTGGCTTTTAATTCACATTTTGATGTGGATCAGTTATGAATCAAACCTAAAACTTACACAATCATCACATAAATAAGAATGTCGGTTTATTAATGAAATGATGAAAATTTATAGAATTTGAAATACTGACTGTACACTACAGTATATGAAATTTTTATACATGAAAACGAGTGTTTCATAAATGTAAGTTGACACAGAAAGACAAATAATTTTCTCGTCATTAAGCTATTTAGATTCCTCTACCAACGATGATTCAATGTAGACTCACTGACATACATATTTTGATTGTTCAATAAAAAAATATTTGATCTCAACTTTGAAATGATGATGATCATTATAGGGAAAAATAAATAAGAATATGTGATAAATGGTGATTTGATCTTTGAATTCTCTCTTGTTTACAACCAATATATGTACTTCATCAGATGATTAAAATCCTACATGGATCAGACAGTGATTTCAATCATACCCCATAGTCTCATTTTGTTTAGTAGACTTGAACTTTTAAACCATGATTTCTGTATACATATATTTTGATAGATCATATCATATGATCATAATCATTACTAATGGTTTCATACACAAACACTCACACACACACACATAGAGAGAGAGAGCGAGAGAGAAAGAGGGAGAAGACGTGTTAAAGACTTACCAGACAAATATATAACAACTTGTAAGCATAGACATATATTCCAGATTGTTATTGGTAAATTTTTAAATTGTATTAAACCGTGCAGTAGAATAGGGATTAAATTATTGTATTCTGCAACTTGTCTTCTGACTTCATCTTGATATGTAAGTAGTAGGGAGAAAAAAGAACAATTATTGACGTTTTAAATATATATATATATGGATTCAGTAGGAACACTATACAGTATTTTTCGTCTAAGAAACTGATAAGACAGTTCAGATTTTATCAACTGTAGTTCATGTTTGATAAAATAACAGAAAAGGTAATGTGAATGTATTGACGAAGATTCATGGAACAAATGTATAATGAAAAATAAATATTTTTAAGATTTTGTTTGAATCATTGTATGGAAATTATGTCTTACAAATTTGGGATGCATTTTTCGATTAGGAATTTATTCTGTTAAATATAAAAACATTCTAACAACGATATTTATTAGGAAATAGATATTGAGGATTGAACAGTTCCAAATATGAGTTTAAAACTGTCAAGTTGATTGCTTCATGCAAAATTAGATGAATATTTTAAATGATAGTTGCGACGTGTTGTCATTAGATTTTACATTTGCATATTTCCTCAGAGGATTTCTTTAGAGAATTATTATTATTACTATTCAATACAAAAAGACAATAATAGTTTTATTTTAACTTGAAATAAAGTTCCTAGGAGGAATCTGTGACTTGTGAGTTAATATTATGTTAAAAGTCGGATGCACTCACTTATGACATTGGACAGAATCGGGTCTTGTCGTGAACTCAATGAAGTCAACTATACAAATCATTAAATGTTTACAAATTTGTTTTAATGATGTCCTGTATCCCGGAATAGAGCTGTAAAAATTCCTAATTCATATTCCTATTCGCTTAGGAAGTTGTAAATCCCCAAATCGGAACGAGACAAATGTTCACTGCCACTTGAATTTCTTCATACGTTTTCAGTTGCAATTAGTGAGTGATGAAAATTTCTTTCAAAACATTATTATTACAACAATAGATTTTATTTATACATATTATCAGTCAAAATGGGGCTATTATTATTATTACTATAATCATGTGTATAGGTTTTTACTGGAACAAGAATCAAACCTGCCATAAGAGTGTACTTAAAACAAAATTTATTTATATTGAAGGCATTTTACTTTCACTGATCAATTTATTACTTCTGTTTTGATTTTCAAAAAAAACTATAACCATTCATGTAAATATTTTACTTTTATGTAATTAGACGTAAACAACATTTAAAAAGTTCATCTCTCCATGTCAGAATCAGACCAAACAATAATAACATTTATCTAACTTATTATATGATGAAATAATTCTTCGGTGAACAACTTATTTATATATGTTTAGGAATTTTCTATTTTAGCAAAGGCTAACTTATTTCAAGATGTCATTTACCCTTATATGATGAAAACATACGAAATGTAAAAACATCTTTTTTTCATTTAAGCCAACATTTAATGTTGCATTCAGAACAAGTGATATAACATGTAAAAAAAGACCAATAATCAACAGATAGAATTCAAATTATCCACTCTGGCAGAACATGGCTGTAAAATTGAAATCCCCTAAAATGCTTTAAATGAACAATTGGAACTTCGGTAATTATTGAAACATTCATATTTGTCCTAGAGTTGATTATGATTATAACAATATTCCCTAGTGAAGTTATCGATAATTTTATGAAATTATTAAAGTGTACTAATTTTAACATCATTTCAAAATACGATTAAATACTACTAGCGAAGAAAAAAAATAGGAAATGCTTACCAATACGTAACAAAGCGACAATAATCATAGGACCATGCGTAAAAATTTCAGCGTCACATTTATTAGACTCCATTAGTTGTATAGTAGTAGATAATGCGCCTTCATTGGCTGCTATTTGAACTATCGGTTCTTTATTTATATCAGACGAGCAGAAATTACAATATAAATTATGAATGTAAGTTTTTTGGAATATTTAATTATTAAATTAGATATCATATAATGACTGTAAAAATAACTATTCATTAATTGCTATAGCATTCTATTCAGTTATTTTTTCGGTTATTAAAAGATAAATCATTGCAATAAAATACAAAATCATAAAGTGAACTAGACAATTTATTCATTAAGTCTAATAAGTTACTATATTTTTTTTACATTGACTACAGTATAGTAGTTGTGACTGGTCCACCATCATCAGTGGATAGATGATTCTCATTTTTCTACAAATGCATTAAACAATACGTTTTATGTTATTTCATTTGATTAATTGTGAGTTTTTCACTGGCATGCTGGATAAAGTATGATAAGGTATTGATTGATTTTGCGTTCCAAATACATAAAAGTTTCAATTTATAAACCTTTCCATAGTCCATCATAAAAACTAATATTAAATTGAATAACCCGCATAAATCCAGCTGTGCATATTAAATATCATATTTACATCCACATATTCTTTATTCAAGAAGAAAGTGTATACACATATACGTCGAATAATATTCATATGATTGATCAAACAAATAATTTTGTCTACACTTTACCTTAACAAGAAATCAATAATAACGTTTTCAGTCTGATAGTTCGTTCGCACAAACCAGACAGAAAGCAATTAATTAATTCACTGGCGAAATATTCGAAAACTGAAGCTTCACTGGGTCAGATCAGTAAGGAGTTATAAAACGCAATACACAGATTTAATGTCCAACTACAACCCGTTTATTTTTGGTGAAGACTAAAAACTCTGCTTTGGAATAGTTTGACTTAGATGTTTCACTATAAAATCACTGTTTGATTACGAAGCATAAATAAATTGTCCTTAAATATATCTTTTTATGGTATCATTATCTTTCTGTACGCACAAATATGAAGTTTTATTTTTTAAAAATAATCATTCATCTATGTTATTAAAAGAATGAGACTGAGAACTTACCATAAATACAAAATCGCCACAAATAACTAACAGCTATTTTAATTATATCATGATTAGTTGTGCAATTTAATAATTCTATAATATGATGACATAAATTAATTGTATGAAGTTTTTTAAATACTGTTTTATATGTTTGTAAATAATTATTAATCATAGCCAAATTAATAGTTGTAGAACAATTTGTATTGATTAATGAATTGAAAAATGTTAAACCTAATTTCTGTACATTGACACATTGAACGTGTTTTTGCATTATGATTAAAACAAGATATAAATGGTTCATTTTGAAAACACTTTTTAAGTAACTATTTTCTTTCAATAATTCATACGATGATGATGATAAATTACCGACATCTTCGTAAGAATGTCTTGAACACGTTGACATCCGCTTGAATTGTTCATGTTCGATAAGATGAATAATGATAGTTAAAGATGACGTAATAACTGATAAATTAGCTTGATGTAAATACATGAGACGAAATAAATGGGGCAATAATTTGTGTACTAAATGAATTTGCTTATTGTTTGAAATATTTTCAGCGAACCAAACAGTAGCTTTTTCAACACAGTTCTCATGTTCCCAGTTCACATGAAGATATGTGAGTTTAGCTTCTATAGTATCATTCACTGGAAATGGTCCTTCAGAAGAACAGAAGAAAATTTGAAATAAAGGTAATTAAAGAAAAATTATTTCAGAAATAGTTAAGTAATAAAGCAAGAATGATGTCAGATTAAGAATGAGCTGGATTTTCGGCGCAATTAATAATAATGGCTGTGGTAAGAATTTTGAATAATGAAAAATGACACGGCGGATAGTCAGACATATTTAACTTAGAACCTGGAACATATGTGCATTGTTTAAAGTGATCAGACCTCATCAGCACAACATTCATTTATTATTTCTACAAGATAAATAAATAAAAATAAATTCTATAAAGTAAAATATTGAAGTTGAAGAATTATTCCCGAAATCAGTATTCTCATGTTTGTAAGTCGGCGACATTGAATAATCCCATAATCAAACGACATGAAGCTTGAAATTTCCAGATAAGCATAATTATGATGAGGATAATAAGTGATTGCGATCATAACTCAACATACTGTACCAAAATTCAGTACGTCACAGTAGACCAAACAAATCCATCCTTTCATTTCTATTACTTGTTTGAATTTCCACATTATTGTTTTGGACTGCAAGCAACTATCCACGTCTGGTAATAATGCTTGTAACCTAAAGGCAATATCGAGGCAATCCGCACATATACCAAGGAGATGGATCAATCTCAGTCCTAGACATCAATGGAAAGATTTAAACAACCAGTAGAAATGAGTTGTTCTTTAGCCCATTGCACAAGCGGATGGCTGTTTGGACTCACTAGCTAAGGGAATAACACGATGGCGTTTGAAGCGTAAGGTACCAGGTTCGCATCCAAAAATGAAAGCTAACCCCGAGATGCAGATGCATCCGGCTGACAAATCCAAATGGGACGCAACGCGCATCTCGGATTCTACTACTAGTCACTACCCACCTCTGCTAACAATCCATTCTTTGTTTTTCCCTAAATCCTCAATCTCACTGTTATTCTATACATTTATCCTACTTATTTCACTTTTTATTTTCGTACTGTAAATCTTACGTTTAGCTTTACCTTATCAATCACACTACTATTACGTTGATTTATTTGAATCCCATTTTGCTAGTTTCTCCTGGATTGGTTAGTGTTCAGAGTGAAAACTTGCGTCAATGCACACTTACGGTGAGTTGAATGTTGTCAATGACTAACTTAGTATATATCTTAGGGTAAACATTTTATTTCTTGTACCATATTTAACGGCTTCAAAGGGATTCGTCATCGTACATAGATGACATGTATGTGCAATAAACTTTAATATTTCAAAATAACTTTCATCGTCAACTGATATCAGTCACTATGATAACCTATTAAATGTTAGCAATATTAGACACTAGATTTGTCTTCACAACAACTCATTCCCATAAGTTCACGCGTAAGGTCGAACTCATCATTTCAAAACCTCCTTGAGACCATTGAATAATAATTTAACAGATCAAAATTTCACTTTTAGACAACCTACGATGTAACAAAATAGTCATCATGTTAAAAATAATAATTGTCTCTGTTGTGAATCAATCGACTGTCAAACTCTATCAAGCTTTGTCATAGATACAAATTTTCAGGTCACTTAAAGTGTACGTAAATATGAAATACGTTATTTATCTGGCCACAAATATCCTTATTAATTACTTGAACAATTGTTTCAGTAAAATAATTATTTATAAGTGAACTTCATAGACAATAAGATCATTTGAAGTCTGCCCATTTTTAATATCTAGTTAGTAGAAAAAATTAAATCTCGGAACATACTTTCCACTTATTACTCATAAATGAAAAAAAAACTAACAAATATCCAACTGGAATAATAAAAAACACTTTTATTTATAAAGAAATAAACGATACAAAACTGTCATTCATTACATAAATTAATAAAAGCATAAAAAATTTCAGTCAGAAACATTTTTATTGCTGCATCGACTAACAAGCGAAATATAATAGGTGAATAATATTAATTAAATTACTATACTAATCTAGATTATAGTGAACTAATACAGTTTTTTCTCTTTAAGAGCGTTATCCAGCTGATTTGATAGGAATACAGTGATCATAAGTGTCCGATAGTTTATTACGCGTTATAAAGTAATATTATTTGTGTACATCAGAATGTATTATCACACTTTTTAAGTGTGGATAATATAAATTTCGATCATAAGTTGCGAAATGAATGCTTAGCCAAATTGCCAGAAGCCTCAAGAGGCTCTCAAAAAGCCGAAGAGATTTCATCCAATCAGAGTCAGATAAAATTTCTAGAATATCGACGTGACATACAATGGACTGAACGATCGTATAACTTTGCTATTCGTGGATTGGATGGTTTTTTGTTCTCAGACCATGAGGAAAACTAGCAATACACGTGATTTCCCTGTACATTTAGACACTTACCGGAGTAGATATTTCTTCTGCTTTCTTCAGACTTTTCATTCACGACTAGGAGGCAGTTTTACTTGTTCCAGTATTAGCAGACTTAACAGTGTTACCCTACTAAAGATCCTTACTAAATAATGACTCACTTAATTAATAGTTCAAATGAAAGAATAAAGAGTAAACTTTTGAGTAGATCGAAATCAGTATGTAACTAGCCTCTACCTTATTGCGTTGGTTAGGCTCGCCATTCTTGATGGGCTGCAACACTTTTCCCTTTAGGTACAGATAAATTGGTTCAAGAACTATGAAACCATAAGCAACAACCTATGATCCGAGGGCGACGTTTCAACACTACTAACTGTACTGTAGCTGCTTTTAGTCTCATCGTTCTCCAATCGACCTGTCTGGCATGGTAGAACCTTGAGGAACATATGTTCCAGCCAGTATAGCTCGGTTGGGTCATCACGATAGGCAAGCCCGACCACCACGTCAAGGTAGCAGCTACGGTCGGGGTACGACAGCAGACTGAAGTGAGATCCAGACTCCTAGCTAGTGAAGTCAATTTACTTGACTTGACATAAGGTTCGAACATTGTAAGCCTTAATATGAAGTCCATAGCTAAGTTTCGGAAAATCACGAGGAACAGTTTACCAATTCAGATTTTTAGCATCAGTGACATGTGAAGAAAAAATGAAGCCGAAAGATCAGGGTTGACAGTGAACAAGATGATTTAAAATGCTGTTAAAGGTGTGCAAGCTGTCACTTCCCATTTGCTTACACTTTAAAAAGTTATTTTTTCTTAACTTGCCTGAAATGGAAAATGGGTTAATGGTCATCTTTTCGACCTGCTAACGTGACCCCAGAGCTCAAGGGATAATTGCATGGTCTTTTTGTGAGAAATGTTCAATGTGTTAGCTGCGTAAGTCAATGTAAGGTCCTCTGCTTTCAGAGTCGACATTTTTTAGGCTAATCCTTGAGTAACATTTTGCAAATAAAGATCAAGAAACGAATGTCAAACACTCCAGCACTGTCATTAAATTTCAGCTCTATCGTGTAAAGGTCGAATGTTCACTGTGAAATCTGAAGTTCGTGGTTCGATCTCTAGAGATGTCATGAATTTACACCTATGAGAGACCACATAATCGAAAGAAACAGTCATCTAGTGTTACCTGGTTTCGAATAGTTATTTAACTAAAGTTCGACCCTGTTGTTGAACATATTAACAATAGCCTATAACTGTTAAACATATTTCTCAAGTTAGCATGTCGCTAACAAACAGTTAAATATCATTTAATACATGAGCATTAAAACAAAACACACCAACTAATTAACAGAAATATGTGGGTATATACTTCCCGAAAGATGTTTATTATGAACTTTTGATATATGTAATAGAAAAATTTTTATTTCTATCATACAAGTTTATCAGTTAGATTTTACACTTTAAATAGTTATAAGTGATTAATATTTTATGATACATCCGGTTTTTTTCTATATACGGAATAGAAATTAATGACCAGAATAACATGGTTATTTATATTTTCCTATTAACGTATACTCTGAAATTGACTATTCCTAATTTTGTAGAGAAAAATCACTGATCAAATAACAAATGATAATTTTAATTGGATATCGTTCTATTTCAATACAGAGGAAAATGTAATATATCACAGTTTTTATAAAATAAGTAGATGAAAGTTTAGTAGTGGGCTCATCGTTTAAATTTACTTCCATTCTAGTGTTACCGTTCACACAGGGACTTAGTCGCAGCATTTTTCTCTTCAAACAACAACGCAATGTCCACTGAGTTAATAAATTGAGATAGTCATTAACCTATTTAACATGTATGATATTTAGTTTATGGCTAGCAGGGGCTTGATTGATCCCGTTGCTTATTTTCATGACTGAATTTTGATCAGTCCTTGTTAGTATTTGTTTATCCAGTGCGGATAGCTCCTAATATAGCTATTTTACTCAGAGGTTTTATGGAATAAATGGGTTATGAAAAGCACCAGAATCAAAGACATGCTTTTTGCCTGCTTTTTTGGGACAATTTTCCCCGAATGCACATATGCCAATAAATATTGATCGACATTCAGTCTTGGATGTTTGCAACTAAGTAATCGAAACCCTTACTGTTGATAATACAACATTTCACAATTTTGTTATACAGCTATTGATTAGTTACGAATAATTAATACTAAGATTTATGAAATCTGAATATCTAACTCTTTTTCAACGGACCTTGTCGAACATCCTTGATTCTCAAAAAACATCATCTTATAGGATAAAAAATCTATCAATAGTTTTTGTTTCATATATGATTTCGAAAATGACTGTTGTCGTTTCCGAAAATGCTGAATTTTCTAATCTGAATACATTGCAAAGCTTTGATCGTCGTTTGAGACATCACCAATACATTCTTTTTTGACAACAACTTGTGTAAATAATTCAACAATACATTCAACAATTATCTTCAGTCACTCCATATGATCATCTCTGGCCTCTGCTTATTTCATTCAAAAAGAAAAATCACCATGTTCTAACGTTCTCAAGTTATTACTGTGATGAGTCTAACAAATTACTGGATAGCCTAAAATTCTTTTTAATCAGTTGTTCTTTAAAAAATATGCAAATATAGTTTTCAATCATCACAGTGATTAATATTATGATTGTTACATCACTCATACATCTAGAAAAACTGGTTCTATTCAAATCATGAGCCTATCTAAACTAGACAACTAATGAGAACCTAGAAACACTAGGCAACTTCATTATCCTAGTACAATACTCCTCAGTAGGATGCATCCCTACATCCAGTAATCGAACTTAGAACTTCTAGTCTGCCATGTGAACACTTAAACTCTAGACCACTAAGCTAGAATTCAATAGTGTGCAGTTATAACTTCATTCAGTCCGCAAGACTGCATGACTACTTTCCACTAAGTCATTTGTGAGTATCTACCTCACACCCAACACGGTTAAACTCTACTGGTCACGGCTTCACACTAGAATTACAATAAAACTCAACAATTTCCATAAACCCACACTAATTAAAACTGATTTGTTTGTAACAATTACCTCTCATAACTAATAAAATCATACATGTAATTTTACTAATCAACTCTCATTAGCTTATTTATGAGCAATGATTTAAAAAAGAATTCGACTTGTAAAACTTAAAAATCAAAAAAAAAAGAAAAATTATCTCAAAGTAAACTTGACATAAATATTGAAACTAGTAAACTTACTGTCAGCCACTGTTACAATGCATCGTTTAGCTCTCATAATAAATTCTGGATTGGTATGTTTCATAAGTATTTGAACATATAAATCGTTTAAAAGATCACTGTAATAAAATGGACAATAAATTTTTTGCTGAAATATTTATAGATCATATAAAAAGGCCTACTAAGTGCTATCATATATATATATATATATCCACTGTTAGCCTTATCTGAAAATAAATCCATTTCAGAGGAATCAATGAACAAGAAAAGATTAAATGGTGAATTTTTAACTGAAGTTACAAAATAAAACCACACATCATGTGATTATTTAAAGAAGAACTATCAACTTTTCTAGTTATCTTGCCTTAGCAAGCTTTAAACAGAGTTTTAAAATATTCAGTAATTAACGAATGATTTTTCCCCGGGCGATTTCAGTCTTTAACGAAACCAATCTTCACAGAACATTCAAGCCAAATAAATCATGCTTAATTGTAATCGCATCAATCTTTATATTTTCAACTGTCAATACTAAGTGTTTAATCCATCTAATAGTATGAAATGTATAATTATAGCATGTTCATGTAAAAAAAATTATCATTCTGTTTGTTTTAAACGTAATCATGAAAGAAAAAAAACAATAATAAAGTAAAATAATTTTCATTTAATTTTATAAATTAGAGAATTAAAACAATCCATCTGGTGATAATTAACATTTTTAATTATGAAAACTCTAAACTATAAGAATCATTTTATTATGAATATGAAAACAAGTGAAGAAAAGAAAAGTCAGTTTACAGTTATTGCATTTTCTTCAATAATACAACTTACTGATAAATCTACGAGGAAAATACAAAAATTGGAACAATTTTACTGGTATAAAAAATTGTCTAATTTTAACAAAATTAGTGATCTATCAATCTACTTCTATACAAAAAATATGAAAAACAATATGAATTACTTACTTTAAGCTTATACGTTCAGATGGATTGTTTTTCATCATTTTTGAAAGTAAATTAAATAGTTGTTTGTGAGTTTTCTTTAGTTGAATAAACAAACAAATATAAATTCTTTTTAATGAATATCTAGAAACATTTGTGAAAGTAATTCATTTGTATTAGTTGTATAAATCTTCCCATGGATATTTTAGGACTACAACTGATCAATCTTTTTTTAGCATATGTACATAACGTGTGGATTGTCTCGATATTGCCATCAGGTTACAAGCATTATAAGCACAAATGGATAGTGGGTAACAGTGGAATCCAAGACGCACCTTTCGAACTAAACATCAGTGGGAAGAACCAAACAACCGGTAGAAATAGATTAATCTTCACCCTATCACACAAGCCGGTGGCTGTCTGGACTTAGTAGCTCAGTAGATGACGTGACAGTGTTTGAGGCGATCGGTACTTAGTTTAAGTCCCAGAGTGAGCACGAACTCTTGGATGCAGGTACGCACAGATAATAAGTCCCAAGTGGGACAAAACGCTCTTCATGGACTACATTGTTAGCCACCGTTTATGTCTGCTAGTTTGCATTAAGGTCTAGATGAGCATGAAATTTAATTATCACAGCTTGAAATCAGTGTAAATAAGAGTCATACTGTAAATATTAGTCAATTTCTGTTTTTTTTTTAAGAAAAGTGATTGAAATATTTTGCTAAAACCAAGTTTTATATACGACCTAACGTATATTTCTATAGGTACTTAGAAATTGGCCAGATTTAATAGAATGTAACTCATTATCAAGACATGTGTTCATATATTTAGGACTGACTTAAACATTTTATATGAACATTCATGTAACTATTCGGCTATCTATTATAAAAAATGGAACAATTCAACACACAACTAAACAATTAAAAGTTTACTCATTTATTCACTGAATCTCTTCTCCAAATACAATAATTCAATGAAATAAATGACTTTCCCTCTCATTCAATTATATTCTAAAATACTACTTAAATTATAACGTTATATTTTAACTGCATATAAAGTAGCAATCCATGTAAAAATTCATCATCATAAATTTTAAATGGTAATTTTGATTTGCTAAAGATTTCTCAATTATTTTTTATTTGATTGTAATTTATAAATTTATTTGTTTTCATAGTTATCATAAACTGAATGATGATAAGTGTATACTGGAAAATTTATTGAATAAAGACAACAAACAAACTCTCTATGTTTTAAATATCAAGTAAATCTGGTGAAAACATTTCAATTCAGAATAATAATCATATATTTTTCGGAAATAGTTGAAAACAACAACCAACTGCTTTTGTTTTGATTAACATTATTATTATTATTATTATTATTATTATTATTATTATTATTAGTGTTATACCTTTTTCCCTAATAAATTAACTTGTTGTAAAATGTCCAAATAGATTAACTGACTGCTTCTGTTATTTTCTTTCATTAGAATACACAGGATGTGCGTAGTTTAAATGATAGATAATTAGTGTGTGTATGTGTGCTTGATGTGATAAATATTTATTTTGACTAATTTACTTGTGCCAATGATGACGTCACGGTAACGGCTTTTTACTTTAATACCAATAATAGTAGCAATAATAATAATTTAGCCAATGTATTATGAAGTTGTAAAACAAATTGTATCTAATTAATCATTAATCATCATTTATAGTATTTCACTTTTATTTAACCTAATTGGTTTTCTATCTATTTCTACAAACCAAAAAAAAATAAAATGGTTGGATTCATTTTACTACTACTGGTAATTGGTATATTGGTTGTGTTTCAATCATTTGCATTGTTGCCTCTAATTATCCTTTGATTTTTTTTTATGACAATGTTTATTTGACTGTGAACTCAACTGGTAAACAGGAAATTATTGTTTGTGTTGAGTTTTTTTTATTATCAGGTAGAACAAAGAAATAAATGTTCACATTTAATTAAATAAACATGATGTGAATATCAACATCATCATCATCATTAAGATTATGATCGGAGTTGTTCATTATAAACTAATGATCATGACAATCTAAATAAATTTTAAAAAATGTGGCATAACTCATTAGTCTCAATAATAAAGATTAACAGTTAATAATTATAGAATATATATATATATATATATATATATATATATATATATATGAATGTGATTCGTTACATCCTGTATAGTTAATTTATTGCACATTGCATTGCCATTAACAAATTTATAATTATATATATACATGTTTGTTTATGATAAATATTAACTTCATTGTACACTCATGATATTCATTGAAATAGTTGTTCCAAAAACAGCTCTACACATTAGCCATATTACAGATATGCACAATATTTTTTTTCTATTATTTCCTATCAATGTTTCATAATTAATGAGGTAATAAAAGGTCATTCAACACTGTCACTTGTTTAGTTCATTTCCAATTTATATCGATTTATGTATTAGTGAGAAAGTAATTCATTTTGTATTGGTTGTTTGAACTTTTTGATTGATATTTTAGGACCGCAACTGATCAGTCTCTTTCAGTATATGTGCATGCGGTGCGGATTGTTTCGATACTGCACTCAAGTGACAGACAGACTCCATCAATCAGATTTTTAAATGTAACAATGAAATGGTCAGTATTTCCTATAAAAACTGATATTGCTGTGTCTATCTGCAATACCGCGTAACTGCGTTTCTATACCGAGGTTTGCATGGCTTGCTTTTCTTTCATCGTTTCGATCACTCCTGTTAGGATATTCATTAAACATCCTAAGAGAATTATTCTTGTAAGTCTAATTCTATTGGTCAATTCCTACTGATCAATATTATGGTCGTCCTAGCTATCAATGTCACGTACTTCAATGTTTTTTCCCATTGGTCGTCCTGACTGTCAGTCCTAACTGTATAAATATGAATTATCTGTAACGTTTTATGACCCGGACGCAGACCCGGATCCTTAGTCCGAGATCCTTGCCTTCTTCTGGACTCAGACCTCGTACTTTCTGGATGGTAGTTTGGCACACTCGGGTTAGAGTAGCTTGTCATGTCGCCAGATCCTCGATCCTCGCTCTCGTTTCCCGACTAGGGTAAACTCGTAATTGTTCAAGCTTATCGTATGATATGTTGATGTTCATGAGCAATAACTCCGGAAAGCAAATCTTGTAAGGAAGATTTATTTGATGGGAACCATTAAAAGGTCAATCCACATTACAAATCATTGAATTTTAAAAACCAATCAGATTAAGTGATTATTGTTTAAAAAATCTGTCAAACTTAACATAATACCATAATGACATTGATTTAAATATAATGCGAATGAAAACGTATTGACAGTTAGTTGAATAAAAATTACCTGAAGTCAATATTACATGATGTGACAACTGATTTCTCTATTCCATACTACTTTGTATTTTATGATTTAAACTGAACTAAAATTTTAATTGTTATTTATTTGTCTATTATCGGAAGCTCATTAATATAATAAACTTAATATAATAAACATCTCTTACCTACTTCATCACCTACATTATAAATAATCTGGTCAAATTCATTTTGATTGACTTCATATAATTATTTTGTAACAAGCAACTGGTTTATTGCTTTACTTATTCTTAATTACACTATGACTCAAACCAAGTGCCTTTTTCCTCAAACATCAATGTAGTGGCTACTAACGAGTTCAATATAGAAACAAAAAAAACACACCTAGATTCCACTGCAAGCCGGTACCCGGCTTAAAAGAAGGCTTCTGACATAGTATCAATATCGAAACAATCTACTTAAGCTGTATATGAATCAAGAGAGACTGATTAATTTCAATCCTTAACATCAACAACAGATAAGTACATGCCCTTGAAAATTACAGTAGTATATGTTTTCGAATACTTACTCAAAAATGATCGTCTAATCTTGATTTATCTGAAGTGTCTCTACTTCATCAAAAAATTATACTCCGTAATAAATTAGTAAGAATGGGATCGTATAACGTAGGACTATACATTACTCTAGAGTTTCTCCATCCATCTTTCAACTTTTCCTAAAACATCTAACATTATCTTAATAGCTTACTTATTCCATCAATGAATATTTTCTGTGAGGTTCTTAGATATCTCTTGATAAAATGACTGAAGCCGCAAATTTGGCTAATCAAATTGAATAGTTCTTCATAGAAAGAGAAATTTTAATTTCTTACTAATACGCTTAATGAAAAAACAATCAACGCTAGTGTTTAATTAGTATATAATTCATATTCAGATAGTTTTTAAAACATATTTATCAGTTTTTTTTCATCTACAAAATACTTACTAATTCTTCTCTAGATGAAAAATGATGAAATACATTTTCGTTTACTTTAAGTTGATCAACCGCTAAGATCTCTTCATTTTTGAATAAATGTTTCATGTATATTAGAATTGTGATGATACATCCCAAAGTCCATATATCACATTTATCAGTGAATTCAAACCGACTCGTTTCAGGAGCACACCATTCGATGTATCTGGCTATAAAAATGTTATAACAATTATTATTATTATTATCATTATTATTATTATTTATGATTTATCTATTTAAAGATAAAATGCATAGATTATAATGAAGTCTATTTCACAGCTCAGTAACAAGATATTTCCAGCATCGTATTTACCTCACTTCAGTAATTACTTCTCTTTTGATGCTGCCTTAAAAACACCCTAATTAGTAATTATGTCTTACTACTCTGGTTAAACTGTAAAAACTCTATCTTAATGGGAGTAGTTCTCAAACTCATCTTCACACTAATGTGTAATGCTTTTACTTTTTACAAGTCTGTATCATTAATCCCCTCCGTTATATCTTATTATTTACACTTCATTTCACTATTTAGAGGGTGAATATCAGAGTGCAACGAAACAATCAGGGTGTATGGTCGCTGTTCAGTGTTCCTTACTTTTATTTCCTTCTTTTTGGTTTCAGATGATGATAGCTGGACTTTACTCAGACTGAAATCATCCTATTCGACATTATTATTATTCATAAGCACAATATCTTAGTCTTCCTATTGAAAAAAAACCACTTTCCAACTTCTGCCTTCAGCGTTGAATCCCTGTTTTTTAAAGATTAGCTGAGAGAATATCATCTAAAAATAATGAAATTAAAGTAGCCATAGAACAGAAACCAAGTATTAGCCAAAAATGAGGATTTGTAGGGTTTTGTCAAGGTATTTATACGGAATACCTAGTCAAACAACATTTCACTAGATTGAATTCAGTCTTAGTAGACGATGAAGTTTTAACGGTGAATTTCTATTTAAAACAAACACTATAGTAATTCAACTCAACTAATCGGGCTTAACGAACTATGCCCCAAAAAGAAAAATACTCACAAATCAATGTCAAAATGTTATAATCCGGAGGTAAAAGAACAAATTACAATAACTGGAAACTAATTAAAATATTCACTACTCATGGCTAGAGAGACTCGAGATTCTAGTTTGCAAAAAACATTGTTAATCAGTTCACATCAGAAATCTTATTCAATCAATTACTAAAAATCCTTATAACCTAGACCAATTATCTTGTGTACTAGAATATATTTCTTCACAATCACCTTATACACTTAAATCATATGACGAAGGAAATTTAGACGTTAATAACAAGAATGTGCATCACTTAAATTTTCATTCGTTGATGACATCCTCTTTAAAATGTAAACAGAAAGAATATTCTGTACATTTTCAACCTATTAAAACCCGGTGAAACCAGGAGGTTTAAGTTATACGATCAAACAATATGTAGTAAACATGACTATTTACTGTCAGGTTATAAATAGTTAGTATTATAGAGATTAACTTGGAATTTAAAAACGTGTCTTCTAAATCATTAGGTGGACAAACTAATCAATACGGTTTCTCGCACCATGAAGCAGTCACTAAATACTATTGTAACACTACTACTGACACCACACATAACTCCTAGTGTTATTGGTTGCGATTATGTCATTGTTAATAATGTTCTTAACGCGCGACGAAAATTCTTTTATAATTTAGCAGTTTTATTTAGCTTAATAAAAATGGTTCCAGATATCGATGGTATAGTTATGAGGGTAAACTATGAAACAAACAATCCTCACTTACGTAAACGTCGCCGTGGGAGTTCATCCGGAGGACATCCAATGGTCATTTCACCTAAAAGATCAGGATTCATTATGTATTCAAAGGCTGAAAAAGTAATTTATAAACAAAGGGTTAGTGGATCATTCAAAATAATTCAATTAAAGTATTTTTTATAATAAAACTTCATTTAAAGTGATTATCCAGCTCTTCACAAAACACTGAAACAAACAAAATGGTGGCTTTAACTTACGCGACTGCTAACTGACCAGTTGTTTTATTACTGGAGATTTTCATGTGACCCACCAAATTCTCCCTCACTGGGATTAGTACAAAAGTGTATAGTCCAAAATCTTTCGCTCGTTTTCGTAAATAATACCTTGGACTGTAGAACATTTTCGAAGTCTCTAATATGAACTTAAGCACGGTGGAGATTTTACCTCAACTCTCATCAACCTTCTTTTCTACTTTTTTATGCATGAATAGTATTAAACATACTTGGTTTCTCATTGAAAGTAAGTCACCATTGTGACTTTTTATCTAATAGTTTAAACCAAAACCATGGATTTCACTGGGAGAAATTCAAGTCATTCCTCTCAAGGCTAACAACTTGAGAAATACTGAGTACTACTTATCAACAATAAACATCTTTGTACTACTAGTTGCATTAGGGATATTAGGCCTAATTAAGTAATCTGATGTACGTGCATCAAGGAATTAACGAGAAACTATGACCAATGTATCAATCATGCTCATTATATATTATTTAACAGCTTAAATTTGTACATTCATCAATAATCAATATCGTTTGTAAATACACGACCTCGGTCTTATGGTTGAGTTTGAATTCATTGAATAAGAATCTCTTGCTTCATTCCACTTGTTTAACCAAACACTGTAGTCTTTAGTTAGCACAAATTTAAGCACAAACCAAACTCAATATTCTATCCTGTATTTTCTATCTGCAACGTTCTAAAAGACGTGTAGAAGTCAGGTAGCTACAAAACACAATCGAGAAAGCCAAGAACACTGGAGGTGAATCCTGAGTATGGATAAAAAATATTTCTTGAAAATACTTCTCATATACTTTGATAACTATACCTAAGGTTCAAAGACTGTAAGCCAATAAAATGTCAGATGTATTACGCTTCCTGAATCAATGGCTATGATATTTATTTGTATGATGAGAACTTTGCACAATATTGTGCGCCGAGGTTGAACTCAAAGTCTCAATAATTTTAAATTCGCCCACTGCTTTCGCTGTGATTAGAGTCCTGGTCAATTTGTAACTATCAGAGTACGTATTGGATGGTTCTGATTATTAGTTAGTGTGTCAAATTCTATCGCTTTTACATATCCTAATAATATATCTGCATACGTAACACGCTGTTACTATAAAAACTAACTAATAAATGTCAAATCTCATATAAATGTAAAGTGTATCAATTGTTTGAATTTATAGGAATAAAATTTATCAGCTGAACAAATTCAAGCTGTTACTTATTTTTGACACTAGATGCACACATTTTTTGAGTGTCTAGATAAATGGCAAAACATCCCTTGAGCAAAATACATAGCATTTAAAGACAGAATTATTTCTAATTTCTTATAAATGACAGGGAGAAAACATAACATCATTAAAAATAAAACGCAGTGCTCCAGCTCAACATACATTGTACATAAACATCTATTCTACGAGCGTAATTCATCAGGTTTGGACCCCAAATGTCGGTCATGCAAAATCCTGTCTCACTGAGAAAAATATTACCAGGATGTAAATAGCTTTACAAAAATTAGCGTATAAACAAATTACATAGAGCCACAATCCGCACTTTTCAAAGAGGATATGACTGTGAGTATACTTCCGAGCATTCGGTAGATTAACTATATTCCCTTTAGATAGATATAAAAAGGTTTATTGCTCACGTTCCATTTTAAACCAGTTTTTCCTGTATTTTCTTTAATTATGGAATCCACACTTGGCAGATCGACGTAGCTACGAATAACAGACAAATAGATTGCTGAATTCTTAACATATATAAAATGAAAACAATATATTACTTTTGAGTTCATAGACATGTGGATTTCAAGAATTCTTGAAATGTATGGATGTACGAACTTTTGAATGTGGTTAAACTCTTCAAACAATAAATAGCCATGATCCACACTTCTACACTCTATCTGTATCTGGGATTCCAAACATGAAATTTTTTCTTACCATTTTTAATACAAAATATTCAAAATTATCTCGATGTCTAAGCTTGTATGAAGTTCCTTGACATCCTTTTCCTAAGTTTTCAACAATCTAAGATAGCTTAGAAAGAACAACGCAATCACTTCATATTGATCAAGAACACTTTTCATATGATTATGATCTTCGTCCAACATCTCTTAATTTGAAAACGGTCCCTAGTTGTAACCGTACCAACTAAACGAAAAAACACGGAAGATAGTGTGGCTCAAGGGCAAATGAGTTATCGAGGACGCAACTTGTTCAATAGACAATAAGATTTTCATTTGGCACTTTCAACCACCTTCTCAGTTATCAAATGGATTACTGTTGAATATGCAAGACCTTGAACTGTCCATCTTGCAATCCAACTGATCGATATGTCTTAAATATCATTTCCAACATGTACCACACCGACAAGAAGAAATAATCTTACAGTCAATTCAAAGATATTCAGAAGCAAAAGAATTTCTCAATCAAAGCAAATCAGGTCAGAAAAGTAACTCAGACATCTAAATTTCTAGAAAACACTTGAAGAGAGTGTGATATTTAATAGAGACATGATGAATGCACATAATTGTAAACTCACTTCGGAGTACAAATTGAAGTATTATGAGTATTCAGATTTTGACAACGTTCTTATCCTCAAAATCGTCATAGTTTTGGATCCCGAACCTTGCGAAAACAGAATTCAGTAATAAAGGAGTTTTGAAATGTGTTTGGAAGATAGCTGAAATAGCTTTGTAGCCTAAGCTAGAGATGTATAGTATGGTGTACGCAGTGATGCTCTGATCTAGATGCCTGATCAAGCTTTTTCAACTGGTTTATGCCTGGTGAAATTATTGACGTAAGAATCTATGTTGAAAGCTCACATCAATACTTCTACGGGAATTTATTTACCGCTACATAAAATCCCAATGAGCATTTTACTGTTAAATACATTGTCTTAATTCTATTGATCAAATTGTACTTAGTTATGTAATAAATCCGAGTCAGAGTCGTTTCAAAACTCCTTTGTTTGCCTGCCTGGCATTCTGACTGTATGTTAATAATATCCCAACACTATATTGGTGCATAATTACTTGAGACAAGTTAACTAATTATTATTTTCGACAGTCCAAATTCATATCCATATGATACTGGAAAGACCAGTTTGTAGGGTCTATGATTTATTTTGCTTGAAAGATGTGGCTGAATATTCTGTTTTCAGTGCTATTTTTACCATCATGAAATTTCTGAATATACTGTGTCAATAATAATATACATTCAAAAAGAGGTCTAATGCCCTGAAACTGCTATTTAATCGCAGTTGTGTCAACTTCGCCCCACCACACCTTGATAGTCTATTATTATTGTACTTGCTAGTTAAAACAACTACTCAAATATAAATTCATGAAAATATGTATCCTCGTTTCTCATCATTCTTTCCATCTCTATCTTCGAGGATAAAGATAGCCAGCAGCATAATGACTTTTCGATCTCTATCAGAAGGCTTTGTTACGTGAATTGATTGGTCAGACTGAAAAATGAAAACTTCGCTACCTCAAAACAATAGTTAAAAATCTGGTGAGTCTATGGCCCGGCAAAAGTAAGATAGTTTTCGTGCATCAGGCAGTCTATAGAAGCTTAACTTCAAGTTTCAGAATAAGAGCTTCGGTCTCCTAGCTGCTACAACCCAAAAACATTTCCCCCAGAACCTACAAATTATCAGAGTTCATATACTAAGCCAAACTCTTCTATGAGGCATCAGATGAAAATGAGAAATATTATCTCTACATAAAATGAAATATAACCAAACCAGAATACAATATCACGTTATTATATCATTCTTCCAGTTATCAGCCTATAGCTGATCAGTAAGATGCTAACGTAACAATATTAACTGGAGTTTCTCAGTAACCAGAGTGCTGAAAATTCCTACTTTGTGAATCTCCATAAAGCCTACAAATGAGGATTATAGAAATAATGGGACTAAAAAATGCTCGTGACCTGACAATGTGGTGTGGCTTGTTTAATCCACGGAAGAAAATGATCAAGCCAGACATATTGAGGAATAACTCAGGTCAGCGCGATATTCATGCTCTGCACAGTGATTACCTAATAGAAATTACGATGATTGGTATTAATTGCCTTATTCTATCTCTAAATGTACATAGTAACCATAGGCAGATTAGTTTTCTTCCCGCGTCTTACAGTCTTAAGATCAGTGGTCCTCCTGCCCGGTTGACTAAGTTATCATGTTCGTTCGCAGGTGAACCAACATGGAATGTAGAATTCTTCATCTGGGCACTTGGTAAAATGTTTAGCCGATGACACCATTTTCTATACAATCTATACCAGCTGCTGTAGCCAATAAAGTAGATAGTTTTCTGTAGGTGCTTGAGCTATATTCACCCCAGAGGCAGAGTGGTCCTTTGTACTGCACTCACTTATTTCACCTAATTAAACCAAGCGAAATGAGACACCTGATTAAATGACATATATTTCACACATAGTGTGGACAATGTTCGGCAGGCCGTATGGAAGCTATGGGTGGTAGGTTAGTTCGATTTTAGCAGGTTCACGGAAGTCTAATGTGACTATTGGAATGTTGGACACCAATCAAATAGTCTAACAAGATCATGAACCCTTCATAAAATAATGGATTATCATTTGGCTCTAACATTCCCAAGATTAAAAATATGTTCCAATACAATAATTTCGATGCTAATGGATACTCAAAGTTCGACTACGCTTTTTCCGTAACATTATGCAAAGGAATGCGTTGCATGGAGTATAAGACTGATCTTGTGTAAATGTTTGATTGAACGCCTTCCGCTAGTCGTGTACAATAAAACTACCGAGTTCTGAATCAATTTGGAAGACTTGCAGATCTATTTCTGTTGTGGTTTTATTTACCACCAAAATGCCTTATCTCGACCATACAAACAATCCTTTAAACTTTAAGTTCTGCATGTATTTAAATACGATGAAGACAAGATAATGGTTCAGGTATCAGCATGTTTATTACCTTATCTCTTCGAGTAGAACTTTAATCCTCATATAAAGATGTTTTTCATAGGTGGATACCATACCACTAGCACCATGACCTTCAAGATTTACTGTTTAAAGGCCATTCATACCAAGGTTATATGTCGAAAAATGATGGATAGTAAATCAGCTGGTTTCCAATTGCCAGATATTTGGAATGATGATGATGCTATGTATTCACTTATGCAACCTATAAGGCGGTCAAAAGCTATTGATCCAGTCAATTACAATGCCAAAATCACATTTTGGAAGAGGATATTGCTATCTTATGCAAGGAATCACAAGGCATTCGTTATATGTAAACAATCACTTCAAAAGCTATTTACTCGACACTTCCCTGTTGAAGGCGTGGATTTGTATCCCCAGTCACTTGGAGATGTTATTTCGGATTTGGTATCAGAAGGTTTACTCGAACCAGTAACACCAAATAGGAGTATCTTAGGCAATGTGTTTACGGCTTTCTCTTATGTGGTAAACAAGCCAATTTCATGGGCATACAACTATTTAAATGGGTCAGTTCGTTTTCGGCTTTACCCTTTAATAGCTTTTTATGAGTACGGCCGCATACTTTCTTCAGAAAACCTTTTTATGGCCGATTTTATATCCCTAGGTTGTCCTATCCTGTCTATATGCTGTCATAAGCTGATAAAGCAATGAAGAAACCGTTATCAGCTCAGTATAAATTCATAGTATTTCTTTTCGTTACCAATCAAGTTGGATAAGTAACAATGTCCGTAAAAACTCAGTAGACTTTGATAAACTAAGCGTAACATCGAATAAAGTACTCAGTGGATTTAAAACTTCATGTCTATCTACCATATTGACCTCGACCATACACCTGCATTTCATAAAATGCTGACAGAAATACGATAAAACACTATAGAGTATTTTCGTATTGACACTACAGTATTCATGTAATAGATCACAGTGAAAAAACCTAAAGCCGTTTCGTTTCTAACATTACCATGCTTCTAGCTAAGTTTACAAGGCCTTTGAGTATTCTAACAAACTATCTTAGGTTAGTCAATCAAATGATCGCTACATGTGTATGTTGTGTGAAATATTTAAAATCAACTCAATGGTAAATGAATCGATTTACAGCCATATGGTATTTTTGATTAAGTTACTCAAATTGTCCATTGATTTACCAGTACTAACTTTGATATAAACAGGTAATATCCTCCTACGCTATCATTATCATTCTGTTTCATGACCATCTTTATGGTGTGTGTTGATGCACTCACTGTGGCAGCAGAGATTATTTCGTTCATTAGTCGAAACATACTTCAGTCTTTCAACAAATAATACTAGCTGAAAAAACAACCAAAATTCCGTGTTGAATCATCTAAAAACTTTATTGTTATATTGTCTTGAAATAACACTTAGTGGTATTTGTGAGGATACAGTAAGTTAGATTTTCATCAAGTTGTATATAAATTGGTATAATTCAGAATGTAGTCTAAGATTTCAGACTACACTGTGTATAGTGACTAATAAACACCAACTCAAAATCCGAAATAAATTTGTATCTTTCCTTTGTATTTTCTCATTCTGAATAATTCAAATTTATATACCACTTAGTGAAAATTTAATTTATTATAGCCTTACAAATGCCACTAAGTGTTTTTTCAAGACCATATAAACACTTAAGTTTTTCGCTGGTTTACCGTCTGCCGTATATAAAACTGAAGACTTGTATTCTGTATTGTCAATTCAAATCATAGAGATTTATTTTATTTGATTGCCTTGGAGTAAGTTCAATTAATTCGCCAAATATATATTCGAGATTTCAGCACGAACAGGCGTCAATAAGTTACAATGTTTGACGTGATCAGTTTGCGAACTGGAATATAAGGCATCTAAACCATTTCCAACGTGTATCGATTCATCATCCTACAAATTCCCTATTTCTCAAAATCAACAAAAATAATCAAGCATATTAACCTACGTCGATTAGAGTTAGCGTCAAAAACAGTTAAGCTCTAGATTCTAGATACTAAGTATTCGATGTAAAGAGTAGTAATCGTACTCTTACTATTTGAATTTACTCACTAGTTATAAAATATCTACTATCCAATCTCACCTGACTGTTTAACATTTTTACTATACCTGCTTTAAATTAGTTTTAATGTTCATTTTATCCTTTGTATACTCCCGTACTTTAGTCAACCGTCTTCTAATCCACTGGATACTGACTCAGTGAATCAGCAGTTTGTGTTCAGTCAGTTCGCTGAAAACTCTGCAGTCGAATTTTTGTCTTGGTTTCATGAAAATTACTGTGATCAGAGGTTATTACCACATTCACCTGTGTATGACTTGGAGCTTTTTAACTCAGCCTTGTCAAACTTTTACTCTCATGTGGCCACTCGTGAATATATATTTGATTTACTGAATAATATCAAACGCTGTGTTTCTGTGGAAACCTCGTCTACTTCAGATTCCAAACCTATTCAAGTATGTTCAACACTTATTTATTAATAGACTGTCGATTGTCGAAGCTATGTAGTAACTTACACTGTTTTGGATATTATATTGTGATCAAACTATTTTAGTCAGCTACAACGTAGAACTTCATATGTACGTACGTAGGCACATCAGTTCAAGTTGCCATACCATATCAGTACACAGAGATCGAATTGTCAATTCAAATTCCATAGTATTAGATGTAGTAGAAGTATTGGCGGTAATCAAAAGGATTAGTGATCTAAGTTATCATTCGAGAAGCGTATCTGACAGAAAGCAGTCTAAAAACAAAGAGATAGTGAAAAAAAACGTTCATACGGAATTCAGAAGATTAGAATTTGAGAGATGACGGAGAACGAATGCATCTGCATTAGTATACTAAATAAACAAGCTATGTTCAAAAGTTACAAACTTGTGCATGAACAGTGATCAAATATTGTAGGTTTGTAAGCATGCATTTTTCCATAAACTGAGAATTCACCTTATAAATTAGAATATTGTTGTACATCTCTTGAAATTTATTACTATTTTACAACTCACCGCTAATGTATCCCCAAATCCTTGAGTCAGTTATAGACTAAGTTTCCGTTCTACTAACTTTTTCAACCAGCTCAAACAATATTTTTGTCGTATAATTTGGGTTTAAAATCCAGTATTTTGTCGTAAGTAATGTAAAAACTCCATTATACTTTTTCACCATCAGAAATGAATAACGAGTAGCGACTGATCGTCGTAAGAATCATAAGTTCGCAGCATGAATTCCTTTAGTGATATTTTTTGTTGATAATAACTGATTCGAGTGTACTCGATTAGCATGAAATGTCTTTTTCTGTGAAATATATCCCAGTCAATGAATATGAAAAATAGCCAAGGTACATTTCATCCCGTTAAAAAATGCCTTTTCTGAATAATGCAGTAAACAACTACAACAGGATCGTAACTAAGTTCTGTAACTTTCAAGACATCATCTAGGGTATCCTGATGGACCTATATATTACAGACCAACACATGTTTTTTTCATTACAAAACAGCACGACTTATGCGCTTTTTTCAATTTCCTAGTCGATGAATAATGTGCTGTAAAGAATTCTCCACTGTGGCATTCGTAATTTCTTTGTAGATAATAATTTCATTTTTATACTATGATAGTTTTAATGTTCTATGCTGTAAAATAAAAACATCAGATTATTTATTTAGGTTTGATGATCCAGTTCAATATTTATTTTAATAGATTATTCGCGTTGGAGAAAATATTAATAGCCGACCGAGTAAACCGGCTAATTCAGACGCTGCAAAGATAGAATCGTCTGCATTGAGTGGAATTGTGCAGCTCAAATCTGCAATTAAGCAACTTGAAAATGAGGAAAAAAGATTGGAGACTGTCATAGAACAGCGTCGAAACCATATCAAATCCTTATTATTAGATAAAAAGTAAGTTCTTTCATGCTAAGTTATTGGAATTCTAGCTATTTAAAGACTCTTTTGGATTGTGTTTAAGTAATCTGTTGTATTTGTGAGTATTTCCTCAACTTTATCTCTTTTTAACAGGAATTCAGAAGCGAAATCTCTACTACGGCGTACAAAAGTGTTGGAAAAATCGTTAGAACAAAAGCAATTACAACTTAATAATCTGGAAACAATGTTAATTGACATAGAATCTGCAACAGAAAATCGAAATATTGTACTCGTACTAAATAGTGTTAATGAAGCTCTCAAACAAGCTGTAGGAGGATCTAACGCTTTGAGTAAAGCGGAAGATGTGGTGAATGATGTGATGGATAGAATTCAAGAAAGTCAAGAGGTAATTATCCTAAAATATCATTATTATTATTATCATTATTTTCATTAAGAAAGTTTACTTATTATTTTGTCATGAGCTTCGCTGCTTCTCTTCTATTTTTTTTCACAGCCGTAAATTTTATCGATCTAGTATTTTACTGTAACTCAGTAGCTTAGTGAAGAATTATATTGTTGCCTTCGGTCCACCCTCTTTATAGAGATTAGTGATAGCCACTGGAAAACTCAAAGCAAAGTAGCCGGAATCCTCTTCAAATTTGCAATTCAGTGTTTAAAAGCCGATTGATTTAGCCATTAATTCGCCTTAAACTGCCATAATGCTATCTACAAGCATCAAGCCTTCAAATTAATTAGAGAAAATTGTATTCGAGGGATGTAAATGTGATTATTTTCGGAAAGTTATCCCCTAGTGATTACCTTTATGTTAATTGGTGTATTGAATTCCTTCCTTGCAACCTTAAAATTAAAATTCGCCAATAAAGAAATGAAATGACATTTTAATCGGCCGAATATTTAAATATATCTTCAAAATAAGAATCTTTTCACTTAATTTCTGTGTTAGGTCGATTGTTTTATGTAATCAATGTAATCAGTTTGTGTGCAGTTTGATTCACATTATCATACATAAGCTGATTTGATATGATCAGACTTAACAGTTGAATGTCTTAATCAAATGTCGATTAAAATGAATTCTATGAGTCTTGAGAGAATCCCTTTTTGTTGTATCAGTAGTTGTTTAACAGTATTGGAATATAAACATAACTACTCATAGAATTTATTGTAAATAACATTCATATAAATTATTTAATGTGTTAAGTAATCTTCATATATCCTGCTCATGCATTGCCTTCACGCATATTCACACTAGTTATTACTCAATAGCATAGTTGCAAAGTATTATTATGTGTAAAATCTTATCAAAGATAGTATACTCTCTTTTTAACTTATAGTTTCAAACTGTTCTCCCGTTTTGAACATTCTTACTATATTTTTATTTTCTATGTCTCTAAAGGTTGAGGAATATCTGTGTAACTGTGGTTAGCTTTGAGTGTTAATGCACCTAGACCATTCATCCTTTGTCTATCATTTCGTAAACTAACAAGTCTTGAACTTGTGATAAATTTCATTATTCTTTTTAAAATTTTTTGCTTCCTTCAGATCTCAGATGTTGTTTCCAGTTTTGGACGTACCTCTACTGGACTAGAAGATATGAGCGATCTGGAACAAGAGCTTGACAACTTCCTTGCTGGAGAAAAGAAAGCATCACCTCCGAGAAAAACACAACCTAGCTATGATGATTTGGAAGCTGAAATCGCTGCTCTTACATTAGTAACAGATGACGTAGTATCATTAGCTGATCAAAATCCATTGTCTTCGAAGCAAAAGCCTGTCCTAACTGATAAGTGAAAAGTGTACGCAAATGACTAATGTTTCCCTTCCATGCTATTTCAGCGTGTTTTATATACACTCCTGAGCTTTCATTTTCGAATTTCAGCATAAACATGGGAATAATATGCGGAATCTTCATACTGATTCAGAACTATATCATACTTGTACTTAACCGAATATTTTCCACATTATCTTTCTTTTGTCTTTTTAAATTATAACATTTTACAATAAAATAATTTGTTTTACTTCAGCAACTGTCAAAATCATGTTAAACTATAATTGTATTCATTGATCTACAATGTCTCTTTTGTGACAGCACAACAAACATCAGAAACAGTAAGTGGCGAATAAAACTATCATTTCATACTCTTAGTAGTTAAACTCTTCTGTATATGATATTAATGTTTGAAGGATGCACATATTTCTAACTAAAGAATAGTAAAGCAAAAGACTTAGTGTCTTTTACCTATTTTCTTTTACTAAGTCATCGATTGACATGTATCCGAATTGGATACTTCGATTCCTTAGGTGCAAGTGTACATGTGTTTCTTTATTTTTAGGTCAAGATTTCCAGTCTAAATTATCCTTAATAGAGTTGTATTTGTTACTAAAACTGTTTTAGTAAATAGTATAAACCTTATAAAGTAGGAAATTCTATGTATAAAATATTCTAATCACTCTGCATCGATATTTTCGTTCCAGTTAAGTACCTACGCATGTTACCCGTAGTGGAGTATAGACCGCTGGCCAGTATTCTTGAACCTACTTCGTCCTAGGTCTTTCTAAGTCTATCTGATATCTGTCTCTATTTCTAGGCTTAATGTGCTCCTTTGGCCTTGAGGATTCCGTGTTAGGGCTTGTTTTATGGCGCAGCTGGATGTTTTCCTCAATGTGTGTCCTATCCACCTCCTGCGCTGCTTCCTGATTTCTTCCTCCGCTGGGACCCGTTTTGTTTTTTCCCACTGTAGGTTGTTGCTGATGGTGTCTGGCCAATGGATCCGAAGTATTTTGCGTAGACAACCGTTAATAAACACTCGTATCTTGTGGATGGTGGCTTCCGTGGTTCGCCAAGTTTCCGTCCCAAACATTGGAACCGTCTTGATATTTGTATTGAAAATTGTGACTTTGGTGTTTGTTGATAGTTGTTCTGAGTTGCAAATGTTGTTCATTTGTAGAAATGCTACCCTTGCCTTGCAAATCTGCGCCTTAACATCTGCATGAGGTTCACCGTGCTCGTCATATGTAAATGTTTTTAAATCTTCCAAGACATCTGCATCCAGCGTGGTTTGGTTGGTGCATATTGTGTTGTGTCAGAAGATCTTTCTTCTCACTTGTGTATGTTGAGACCTGCCGCTACACTGGTCGTCTTCTCTTGCGTTTGTTTTTGTGTGTGAGATAGATGATCCAGATCGTCCAGCTGCGTCCTGGCTGTCCATTTTTACGAGGCTTCGCCTAGGATGTTGACGTCTTGATAATTCAATCGATCATCAGGAGAAAGAGAAAGGGTGAGAGTAAACAACCTTGTTTAACACCGGTCTTCACTTAGAACGAGTCTGTCAGCTGTCCTGCATGCACGATTTTGCAGTTTAATCTATCATAATAATTGCGTTGATGTTGACTATCCCCTCGGAAACGCTATAGTGTCGAAGAAGCTTTCATGATACCATTCTGTCCACGCTGCCTAATGCTTTCACGTAGTTAATGAAGTCAATGTACAGCGGTCAATTCCATCCAACTGATTGTTCTACAATGGTCCGTAATTTGGCAATTTGGTCGGTACATGATCGATTCATGCGGAATACAAACTGATGATTGTGAGGTTGGGTGTCTACTTAATCCTTCATTCTGTTTAACAACACCTTGTTGGAGACTTTGGCAGGTATTTAGAGAAGTTGGTGCTCATATAGTTCTCGCACATGCTAAGATCGCCTTTCTTTGATATCTTGATGAGGTGTCTTTGTTTCTAGTCTGTTGGTACTTGTTGTTCATCCGAAATCTTACTGAAGAGAGAATGCGGAGTATCTTTGCCGTCACTGCAACGTCTGTTTTTTTAGTGCCTCAGCTAAAATGTTTTCTGGCCCTGTTGCTTTGCCGGTCTTGATTCGTCTGATGGCCATGCTGATCTCTTCGTTGTTGGGTGGGTTCATTAGGGCTGGTCGATTCAAGAGTGCTTCAGAGTGTTTTACCTACTTGTTTCTCTGCTCTTCCGTGTCGGTGATTACTTCGCTTTTCACTGGTCGTTCTGGTTTACCATATTTTCCAGAGCTTCATTGTTGTATCATATAGTTGTCTCAGGTTCCCTTCTGTTGCAGCCTTTTCAGCTTCATTGCTTCTGTTCACTTGCTTGTTTGCTTCTGTGTATTCAGCTTGTGCCTTGGCTTTCTCTGCTCCTGTCCAGCTGATTTTGATTGCTGCTTTCTAGTTCCTCCTTTCTTGAATTATTTCAAGAGTACCAACAGAGATTCATTCCTTGTGGTGGTGCTTCTTGTGGCGCAGAACCTCCTGATATGTTGAAGTGATTGCCTCGTTTGCCCCTTTCGAAATGATCTCGATTGAGTAGATTGTTCAAAGCCTGGAACCTATTGATGGGAGTAATCCTGAATTCGTTGAGTTTGTCAGTATCCCGAAGGAAGTTCGTATTAATATTTTGTGATGCTGTCCGCTCCGTTGTCCAGTGCTTCTCCGTTTTCAGCTTCATTTTGATCATCTGAAGCTATATCAGCTCCTCTCTTGGTTCTCACGTCCTGCATGGTCCTTCTGAACTTTTTATTGATGCAGATATGGTCGATTTAGTTCGATGTGGGTGTGATTCGGTGAAATCCATGTGGTTTTGTGCATTCATTTGCGTGGGAATATGGTGCTTTCTATGAACAATTTACTGAAGTCATATAGTTTTGCAAATATCTCACCATTTTCGTTCCTTTTGCCCAATACATTTCGTCCCATGATGGCTTCATATCCGGTGTTGTCTATTCTAACTTTGGAATTTAGGTCTCCAATGATAATGGTCAAGTTTTTGTTGGGCATTTTTTAACCATTTACTTAAGCCTCTGATAGAATTGGTCTTCAGCGTCGTCATTGTAATCGTTAGTAGGCGCTTAGTTCTGAATGTTATTGATTGTAATCCCTTCTTTCTTTGTTCTGAAAGACGCTTTGATGATCCTGGATCCACAAGATTCCCATCCTATGCTTGTTTGGACGGCATCAGTGCAACTGCTTGTGTGTGTGAGGCATTTTCTTTTTCATGGCCAGAGGGGCATTGGCCTCTTGACTTCCGAAGGGATTCAGCTTTCATCATGAGAAGTCGTTACTCTTCTGAAAAAAGATCTGCCAACTGTCAGTGCAGAGTTAAAATGTCTTGAATTGATTTTTCTGGTTGGCGTTGTTTTAGCGATTTAATTTTCTACTGGATGAGGTCGTTAACCCCACATCCAACCCTCCTCCTCTATCGTGACTTGAAACTGGTAGTAACCTCGGAGGGGATCCAGGTGTCTTTTGGTTGCAGTGCATAAGTTTACATAGGTTGTCTTTCCAATGGTGCTTAACGTTATTAGATTTCCTGCTGTATATTACATATTTTAATGCTTATGTATATTCCTTTAAGCGCATTAATTTCGATGTACTTACACTTCTTCCTGCTGTACGATAGACAAGGAGAAAGTTTGGATTGAAGTTGATAATTTGTATCCAATAATTGTAATGATGAACACAACAAAAGTCAGTGGAAAAAACATTAATTATAATCACTTGACCTTATGGTAATTTGAAGTTAATAAAAGTTTATTATCATTTCATATAATTCCATCAGATTTACGATCGCTTCTTGATTGTCACCTTTGACGAGTGTTTCACATCAGTCAAATAGAATATGGAGATCATTTCATTTAAAATAATCAAACAGCTAAGCATATATGTAAAGTTAATCCACTCATGAACTGTCCAAACTGAATTCAATCAAATATAATTTGAACCTACTGTTCAATGACTGAAAGTTAAGTGATTTCACTCTTGATATAAAGCTCCACGTATGCTTATCGATCCAGATTTACTTACTTACTTACGCCTGTTACCCCTAATGGAGCATAGGCCGCCCACCAGTTTTCTCCAACACCAACTCTGTCCTGATACTTATATATAAATATTCCTAAACTCATTGTTTTATTCAGTTGTAAAGTAAAAACATGGAATCCACAAATAAGATCTATGTAGCGTTATAATACTAAGTAAATGTTGGCTAAGGATATATCTATAACAACATTCTAATGACTTAATTATATGGTCTTCTAGCTTGTATTCTTGGCTATCATAAGTTCATAGGAAGATTGTTTACAAATATAGTTCTTGATATAATGTACACAATAGTGATTAGAAAATTAAAAGTGAGGTATCAGATTGTAGCTCAGCCCTATGAATGTTGCTTTAATAGAAATTATGACAGTCGTATGGTTTATTCACTCAGAAAGATTAGATATCCCTAGATTTTTGTTTTCTAAATGTGTAGCCCATGAAGCTGGTCATCTAAAAATATTTGATTGTCTATGTTCTAAAATTACCTTCGATGTATAGTAAATACTTTGTGAAAAGAAGCATTTATTCTGTTTGTCATAGATAACAAGTTGTTCGTGTGTATATTTATCTAGGAATCGGATTACAACATACTATTTATAAAACAAGAATAACATAGAGGATAAGGTTTTCGATAAATTGCATATTTACCTAAATGCATTACTCTACCACCCATATTTTTTTCCGTTGCTTATAGGTGAACTGATAACGCTCATTTATCTGCGTGTAGCTGCTCAATTAATTATGCTACGGACGCACCAACACTGGCATTGTTAAGTATAGAATTTCTATTGGACTGTTCAATTAGATGATGTTATCCTGGGAAACTATGCGTCTCTGTTTGGAGTACAATTCTGATTTTGGATGCAGACTACTGGGGAAACCAAAATTTCTGGTTCTCCTTGTTTTCCAGTGATCTCGTATCTGAAATCTGTGTATGAAGTCAACTATCTTGAAATTAAACTATATTAGTTACAGGTTGGAACAGGTTGTCCGCTTGATAAATTTAAGTGATATATTGAAATGACGAAACTATCTTTTGGTTTAGAAAATTTCAAACATCTAGACCATATATTAACTTGTTTGGATATTTATATACGTTTTTGCTACAAATCAGATAATCTGGATTGACGAAGTTGCTTTTTTTCATTTCTAAACTCCATTAGTGCTGTCGACAATGTTAATTCATAATATTTATACTACTGATAAGTAGGCAAAATATATTCAATTCTACTCGAAGCAAATTTACTGGATTTGCATTGAAAACAAATTTGCCTTTATTAATTTTAAACAACTTGATGTAGAGTCTGTATTTCTCTTGTATTAACTCCTTTTAACCAATATACTTTTAGAAATGACCTAGTTATTATCTTTCCCTTGGGCTTTCAATATATTTAAGCAAGTAATTTTGACATACTGACAATATTCATTTTATGTGTACAGAAGAACAGTCCCAACAAAGTAATGGCGTCTTTACCAATAATCTCTCAGGACTACTGTTAATTAATTTTAACAAGCTCACCATTAAAATTTCCCTTCATAGAAGAGATATGGATTGTACATAAATAGTAAATTATATGCGTTTTGTTGTAGTCCAGTACTAGGATGTACTTCATTCAACTACACCCTGTTAACCTCTAAATAAAGAAATGGTAATTATCTGCCTTCGTTAAATATAGCTCTTAATAAAAAATGGTAATCTGACAAAACGACCAATTTACGGGAAGTTTATTTAGATAAGATAATAGATGCGTTTTTACAACTTTTACCCATTACTTCGTCATACTGGCACCATGATATATCTGCTTCTACAATGCAGATCCAATCTAATGCATTAAACTCCTAACTAAAATATTAAACACATACCCAATGAAGTTTAGAAACGTACATACGGTTCAGGCAACATTTGAATCGACAATCCATTCCGTCATAAAGCAATGCGTTTACATACTGCTAATATACAGAGAGAAGCCAAATTTGAAAGTCATTTTGAAAACACTTTTCGAAGTACAGGACTCTACCGATTTCATGTTGACTTAAATTAGCACTTTATTCACACTGCGTAGTGTTTATCAATTTATATGTCAAGAATTGACTATGAACAATACTATAGATGATCTGTTACGCTCGTCTCTAGGAATGCTTAAACCATTGCGAGTTCAACTTAGACGAATAACGAGGACAAACAATAAACCAGCGTCCGGGTAGGCTACTGTGATCCCTTGACCGAAAGGTATCAGCAAGAAGTCTTGATATATTGTAGAAATTGTATTCTACATGCACCCAGCCAGCACACAATGAATCCAAGCACTCAAATTGCATTTATTTATACTTTATAGAGACGTCCTTTGGACAGTCACAAAATAGCACACTAAAATGACACAGTAACCAATCATAGCCAAGGATTTTCCTGGTGGGAAATGTGATCTCAAGGTCAACTGATCGGTCTATGAAATAAATCCAAAATAAAGATATTTATCAAGCGAGTTCTGGGGATCTAACATCCCCAACATGATCCAAGTAGAAAATTTCACTATACAGAGCTTTTATACTGAAGAAAAGATTTAATTTGGGTATCAGTTTGTAAAGTAAATTAGATTTCATACATCTAACAATAAAATTATTTATCCGTTCAAATCTAAACTGGGTGACCAACAAATGACAGAACTAAGATAAACACAAGCATATTTAATTCCATATGTGTGAAGACTTGGAACAATCCATAGATTCCAAATTCTAATTTTTTTTACTTTAATTCATAAGTTGACTTTTCTCAATTGACTTGACTGATCATCCTACAATTCCTACATTACAAATTAATTGCAATAAATGATTTCAAAACTGGTCATTAGCAGATGAACAACTGAAGTGATTGTAGGCAGTGATAAGAATAAAAAGTCTTTTTCAATAGTTTTCTGAACTATTTTTATTTGTGGAGAAAACTATCAATAAAACTAATTTTAATTTTAAATCCCTTTCCAATAAAAATAAACCATACAAATTTTGAGTCGGCTGGATATAATCAAAATTAAAAATTTAATTATTATCAGCTCAATAAAATCCCGCTGATTAGTACTTAAAAAAAAAATAAAATCAATATCTTAAATTGTTTTTTCTGATTGAAGATTTATTTCTCCAACTGTTATAACGGAAACTAAAAGTCGCATTATTTACATTCGTCACAATTTAATGTCAATCAACTGTTGTCTGAATATCAGACTTTTCAGTACTTTACACCTATGATCCTACCAAGGATCGAATCCTTGACCATTACGGACACTTGTTCGTTATCCTCTGATACAACTCTGTAATGACATAGTCCAACGATTATAAGTGACAATCATTTCACTCCTGACATAGCGAAACATATTAGTTACCTTATTATAAAGTAATAAACAACATATTGAAACATTAAAAATTCGATGTTACCAACATAAAATTATTAGTTCTTTTTTTTTCTGGAATCGGTAATGATAATATTTTAAATTATATAAATATAAAGTGTTATATATTTCATAGAAAATCCTCTATTTTAATATCAGTATAATTTCAGACTATCAACTAGTAAGTTCTACTTTAAAAGTTATTCGAAGAATATATAATATTTCAAAAAAGAAATTGTACACTCATAAAAATCAGATCACGATGATTAGATATAAGCAAGATCACAAATGCATTTAGCCACATTTGATGTAAGTGATTATGAAAGTATCAGAATATATCTGTAACCAAAATAAAAAACAAACAAAAAAAAGAGATTTATTTCGAATGAATTCAAATTGGGAAAAGCCAGTAAATATGAAACGAGAATAAGCAAAATGTAAAATAATTGAAATGAAGTGCTTTTTAAACTCATTTTTGTCAAGGAATGGTCTCAAAGTAGGAAGTTTACTGCATATTCTCGGTGATGTTGATCAGCATATATCTGAGTATACTTTAATCTAGTCTTTATCATCTACCAATCAATTTTCTTATCGATATACACGCACTCAAATATAATTTTCACAGTTAATGTCTTGAATAAATTATTATCATTTTCATAGCTGAAATCACAAACTGATGTAAGCTAGACCATCAATAGAAACACATAAGTTGTGTAACATTATGGATTGGATGAAGTTAAACATTAACACCATTGGATGCTGAATTAACAGTCTAGGGTTTCGATTCCTGAGTGTGAAGGTCATGATAACGCATTTCGTCTCATACTAGGACGAAGCGGCCGTCCAGTACGTTTAAGTTTTGAATGGTGGTTAGAATAATATAATCTCCACAAATGTACAATTGTAATGAATAAATCAATTTGTATTTGCATTAGTACCTACAGAGTCGTTGAAAAAATCGGTGATTACCTAAACTCTATGGCTTAAATTGGACTTCTCAGTATCTAACTTTATTAAGTGAATAGTTTAATATGACGAGTACGAACTAAATACTGACTATCAATATTAACCTTCAACAGTGATTGTATGCATTTCAGCCTAACGAAATAAGTGTAGTAAAATTATTTTCACATATTGATTAGACCAGACAAACAAATATGGAATCAATGATATGTACACCAAAATTTGCATCTCTATTTTACTAGTGAGTATTCATCGCTTCAAGTGCATACTTGAATAATCGATTAGGATGACTCATTTGTTTGTCCAGTCTGTGTCTAATATATTTTTTAATGAATGATTTTCACGGCTTTGTCCCATAATTTATTCATCACCAAAAGTTTATCATTATTTTGAATGTAAATTCACAAAACTTATTAATAAATTGACTTAGGCATAATTCTCATATATCGATTTAAAAAGATTCTAGTCAATAAACTACTTTTCAATCTCGGACAAAATTGGCTGAGATTATTACTAATATGTTTCATTTTCAATAAATCTAGTACTTTTGACTGATTTTTCCATTTACTTAACTGATGACTGCTGAATGTTAGACCGTAATTTTTAATCAGAGATTTCAATTCATTCTTTAACTTCCACTATATTTGTCTTTTTTTAAAACTGAACATGTTTAACTGCATTATTTTAATATGTTCATAGAAATCAGTTGTGACTAACTCTAGGTGCTTCAAATTCAGCAATAACTCACTAAACTGAAGAAAAATGTTCGAATGTGCTGCGTGTTTGTAAACGCTGCTGATAACCACAGTCATAAACATCTATTTTCGAATTCACTTGTAAACCGTCGTACCAGCTTGAATTATTGTCACCTTTTAACTAGTTGATTCTACTAATGAATTACTATGTATTAAATATTTTTCTCACGGGTAATTGGTGAATAAAATCTGTCTGATCCACGATAAGTACACTTTCATAAAACAACATCCTCACAATTTATTATCTAATTAAAAATCTAAGGCAGAATAAAGAAATCTGGTAGAATAATCCTTATAAAACTGAAAACAGAATAACGAGACGTAATATTTTCCCATTAAGATTCTAAAATTCGTCTTACCACAGTTATTGAACTCAAGAACTATGTTTTTGTGGAGTTAACTAATAAGTTCAATAATCATGAAATGTTGAAGAATTCATTTGATAGTATGTTTAAGCACTGAATATTAAAGTACTGGTGATCGGATTTGAAATTGATAAGTGAAGATCCTTTATTGGGTGAACATAAAAATAATTATTGTTTCACTTTTACATGCTTTCTTAGCTTAAAAAAATATATGCTTTTGTGTAAGAATTACAAAGAAAGCTTCTAGTATAAACACAATATGGTGATAGAATTAATTCATAGTCTTTTAGAAGAGTCTATAAGCTTTAATAGTGGGAAGCTATTCATTGCAGATATAACTCCTTGATATTCAGTATAGAAACTTACTTAACTTGCTTTAGTTCTAGCATCTGGATAAAATCCCTAGACGTACGTACATGTACATGTACAAAGCCCACTACAAAAAAAAATCAACTATATAACCCAGTTTATTAAGTAGGGGGATGTCCTTATATAAAGCAGTATTGAAAATCTCTTGCTAAATGAATACGGATAATGTCCTTACGTATTTCGGACGTCCTGGTAAGTAGTAACTGGCAAAGCTTACTCATTTTGAAAGTGAAATAGTTATCACTGGAACTGTTAAATGATGTTAATTACATATCACGAGTTGACTAAAGCTAAAAATATAAACCACTAAAAGTCTAATTAGCGGTTGAAAGTGATCGTATTTCTATCAAAACCCTAAAATCCCCAATTAGATTTTGTGTGAGATACACTGACCATTTATTCATCTCTATCAATCAAACCACCTTATTACGAAGCATAATAAAGTAGTTATCTAATATTTCCGGCTTCCTAGTTGTTACATAATTACGATTAATTTGGGACTTAACTAAACCGCATGAAACTCCTATACCAACAATAACCCTATGCTTACTGGTGACAAATTTCCAGATGTTCTAGCAAGAATCTGTGTCTAGTAAAGTTCGACTATGTCGGTTATGAGACAGTTATTCATCAGAGACAATGGTGAATGTTCATTTAGTAGCATAAATTGATTGACGTTAGACAAGTACACCAATGAATGCCCGCTCAATTATCTTTACGTTAATAGCTAATTGTGAAATATAAGGTCCTGAGATGCTGTATACATTCTAATGAGGAGTCCCATACAAAGACGAAACAGCTCTCCAGTGCTCCCGAGGTCTCGATGGTTGTTGAACTAAGATTAGTCCATGATGTAAGATATAGTAAGTTAAAAATCTACAAAATATAGTAGAATCTATGCTATCAATCTAACATTTGTCTTCAATTAAGAATTGTGTATAAAGTATTGATTAGTTTAGTTTGTAAAATTGATTCATTGAATCAGGAGTTGATGATTATTGAGTGTAAATCTATCAGTAAATAATATGATCTTTCCTCACGAAAATGTTTAGCGTTCTGATTCAACGTAACATTTAGTATTCAAAATGTCAAATGTGTTTACACATTCACTGCTTTTCTCCGTAGGTATAAAAATAAGTACTTGATGTTGTTAATGAAATAAATTTGACGTCATTCTATTATAGTTAGGTTGCTTTTGTTTCGTGTTTACCATCTGATTTGTATTTCACTTTAGAAATAAACCTATTTAATAAGAAAATAATTAAATGACCAACTGAATTAATTTTTTCCCAAAGTTCCGATTTTTAAAAATTAGGTGATTATTCCAAGTAGTAGAAGTGAAAAGTATGGTGAACTGAATTCCATTTTAAGCTTCTGTTGATTATCAAATAAAAATGTAATTAAAATGGTTTGGCGAAGATAATCTCTATATTTCAGAGATTAATCTCAGTTGGAGTACCAATGAAAAGTAGACTGATCGTCGATGTACCTAGAAAAGTGATTGAATGAAGTTCAAGTTGTATCATCGGACAACGACCCAGTCTTGTTATTAATTAAGGGTTTGACGAGAGACTTAGGTTCAATCTCTGATAGGGTAGTAGGTATGTAATGCTTAAGAGTAAGAGAGAGTTAGGCCAAGACAGGTATCCATTCACGTTGCCGTTCCGTCAAGTGACAGACATACATAAATTCAAGCTTTCGAAAAAGACCTTTCCAAGCAAAAATCACTATAAAATCTATGCTAACAAATCAAGAATAACTCACTAAGTAAGACCACTCCAAATTCAAATAATTCAAAACTCTGTATAGGAAGTAGTGTGTAGGAATACGACTAAGAGTAGTTTAATAAAGATAATCCATTTATGTAAAATATGGTCTTTTAATGGTGAATTAAACATACTTTTGTAAACAATATGATTGTATTCATTTGTTTACTCATTTAAAGCATCTGAAGTTTGACTTTAATTTCTTTTACTTTTCAACCATGATATTGTAAGTCTATCAAGAATTTCAACAATATCTTCTATTGTTAATTGACATTTATTAAATGATTCTTGAAAATAATCAAAATTGTCATGATTTATTGTTGAAATAATTCTAGTCAATGTTTTATCAGCTGGAGTTGGTGCTGGTCCACCTGGTTGTTCTGTAGTTTCTTCACGTGTCAACGATGAATATGTTAAAAAGCTACCATTGATATCCATTCTGAAACCACGATATAATAACAATAATTACAATATCTTAATGAAATGTTTCTATTTTAATTTATTAATTTATATTAATAGAATATTCCGGCAGAATGAAATTAATAATTTCCTTTTCTTTTAGTTGTAATGTCTAATGAAATGTATTAAATGGGTTATTTTTTTTTAATTTCCAGTTAACTGATATTCCTTTTTTTATTGTGTAAATTTGTATGCAAACTGATTGGTTCGTTGATTTACTGACATACACACAATTAAATAACTATACATGAATTGAGTACTATTCATTTTTTTTAAATTAGATAAGTAGTATATATAGCATATAATTGATTCTTAGTTAGAAGTGCATTATTCCAGTAAATTTGTATCATATGATAATAAAATACGCTTGATTAATTTAAGGATAATTCAACCTATATATTTTTGAAAGAATGAAATACTTTTAATTAAGCATAAACACTAAAATTTATTTAGTTTTGTTTATCAATTTATTACTTGTAACTTTTTCTAATGGGAATATTAACTTTAGAGTACAGGTACAGGCAAATGATAAGTCCTAAATGAGATGAAACGTGCATTCTGTTACGTTCTACTGTTAGCCATAATCCATTTGTTCTGTAAAACATTTAAAAAGCCCCAAACAGAAGCAATCTACATTTAATCAATAAATGACCACTAAGATTGAGCAAAATCAGGTCAAGATTATCAACAACGAGATAATTCGAACCCATACTGGCAATGATATTAATATCCTATTTGAAGAATAAGCTAGTCTCTACCTGGAATTATTAGCCCAGTGGTTTAAGTTCCAGTGTGACTATCAAACCTAGGACTCAGGCACATCCAACTGCCAAAAAAGGTTTTAAATTTGTGTTTAGTAGAATGAATTATAATTATTTCTCTATCAAATATTCATAATATATGTAATGATCATCTCTATTTTATTAGCTGGTAGTAAGCGTACTATGAAACGCTTCTAAAACAACTCAGCAATATTAATCATTTCCTGAAAAAAAAGAATATGACTTCTAACCTCCGAGATGTAGGTTGAATTCGCCTATCTTTGATGTACACATGTGGATACAACAGAATTAAAGTGATTAGGTAATAACTAGAGGTAGCAAACGAAAACATTTCACCTGTTCACGAAACTACTAAATTTTAACTGGTTTTTATAACACAATGATATAAGACAGAGAGTCGCTGATTATTAGGAAGCACTGGAGAGTTGTTTGGAACTTCACTCGCGTTAAAACTTCCAAGTTTCACGACAAACATCATGTCTATAAAATAATCAGCTAGAATCTGAAATTCTAAACTTTCAACTTGCAGCGTAAACTAATATGTCGGACTTACACAACTTGTCCTACCTTTCTAACAAACTAATCAGCTTCACCTTCCCGAGTTATTATTCACACACCTTTGACCTTGTCATTTATTCGCCAATAACCTTGTTTGTCTTTACTTCAGTGTGTGTATTGCTTTCTTCACTCATCACATGTCTAGTTTGTTTTGATCTGACTACAAATACTCAGTCATACCCCATCACATCTAGTCGGCTCACTCACCTCCGCTTGACTTTGCTTCGCTTCAAATTTATGCTTTGCATTCAATTGTCTGTCAGCTTACGCGAATGTTTGAAATAACTTCGTCCACAAAACCGCATTAGGCTTTCAACAACCCCCGTCGCACAACCGAGGTTTGCCTAAAATGATTTGCGGAAATCGAAGGTAAGATTTACTTCATAGAATATTCAGTCGTTTGTCCAAATCGGAGTCAGATCCCAGGCCACTAAAAAGCATCAATGTATTTGAGCTATAAAATGAACATCATCCAGTGTAATTTATGTACTGATGCTCTCCTTCTTACACGATTAACTCCACAGACTACATCCTATCACTTCTCTAAGCAGCACACAACTATTATTGATTAAGATACTTTTGCAGTGACTTTTTTTTACATATTAACATTCATTTTCAATAACTAGTCATATATTTAGATCTGGAATGAAGTATTGTGTTAGACTCTACAATGTCATCATTATCTGATCCCATCCATTACTCCAAACTAAACAGTGTTATCGAGCATTATTACTAAATATATATAGTGAATACAGTAATCGAAACGATATCTAATATAACTTTAATTAACAGTATATAACTTTTAAGCAGTGGCTAGGATTTTCATTATGTCAATTAGTTAGCACAATAAATTTCGGAAAAACATATATTTTTGAATTAAGTATCGTTTAAGTCTTACCACTTCCTTTCATCTCATTAGGTATCCATTCTAAATAAGTTACAATACAATTTTTTTCGCTTACTAAGCACAAAAATTCTGATATACTTGTAATATGATATGACAGAAAATAATCAAAGAACAAAATGTATCAAAATAATAATATCTCTCCCTGAGGTTTCACTACTTAACATTGGTGATATTTTCCAAACCTTTTTTATCAGAGTGTTTACGTGAATAATGTGATGATTAGATGTGAGTAGTAAATTAAAATAAGTTGAATAAGTGGAAATAGTTAGGGGATAGAAATTGTAGACCAGCATAATGAGTTGTTAATGGTGTTGTGTTCGTCAAGCTGGCCTGTTTATTTGATGAGTTTTCATTATTATTCAGAACAATATAATTGCTTATTTCATGTAGAAGTAAGCTTCCAAGTTATTCTACAACTGTTATTCCGGTTTTACCTGATAGCTTCTTTGTAACGGGTTATATTCACAGGTTTTATTCTATTTATTCATCCTTGCACTGATGCTGGTTGTACTTCAAGGTATTTCAATATGCCTACTGATTGCCAAATGACCCGAAAGCTATGTTTCTAGCAATTCTCTGGCATTCTTAGAGTCTCCTTGATCCGTAATTTCGACATTTATTCAGCTGAACTCATATCTACTATGCAGTGTCGTTGTGACATCTTGTAAATATATCAAGACCCATGGTCTAAAGCCGTAGTTAAATAAGTTATATGATCTTATCTGAGTATTGATATTTCATTTAGACTGCATTCATAGGACCAACAACACAATGACAGTAAAACGGTAGCCAAGATCAATACTTAACGCATATTGGTTCAGAATACTGTTCTCCCACGTTTGTTCCCCCTGAAAGCTGAAATGGAGCACAACACTGAAATCAGATAACCTCCAACTGAACAGTTTAATTTTATAACTCAACTCGTACAATAATTTAGACTAAATTCTTAATTAAATATTCACATAAATAAGAAATTACTATATAAAGACAACTATGCCATAAGTGTCAGAGAACCAAATGACATGTTGATAATTAATTAGCTGTAACCTAAGGCTGATAAGGCATACAACAGAAACAAACAAAAAACAGAACAGAGATAAAATAATTCAAGTATTCAGTAATTAAACAATAAACAAATGAATGATAACTTCCAAGAGAACATTTCCGAAAGTTGAGCTTGTTTCGTATTTATCCCTTTGTAGAGCATCTGTGGGCACTGTTACCATTAATAGTATATCATACTGCATCACCGCTAATTCATTCTTTAGGTGAAGATGCTGATCACTTAAAAATTGTTAGCTATCATTTTTATAGTCTATAGCCATTTCCTGTTTCTGTTGTAAGATGACTTATATCTGAAGGAAAAAGTCTGCACAACTCTTACTTTTTGGTGAGAATGCATTCATACTCTGATCGATTTACAGTTTAAATGTTTACCTGAAGAATATATCAGTTTCCTAAAGTTAATATTCTATATTTTTTCTTAACTCAATCCAATGAAGTGAATTTATTCAATAAATCGATTTTCACTGCTCTTCAAAAGTGGACTTTATATAAATGTAAATATACAACCATACTAAAAGCACAGGTCAACAACAGCACAACAAAACAATAAAACAATTGTGAATAAATGAATAACATATAGAATTTCGATCTGCTTAATATTTGGCGTTTTGTGTTCTGATATTGATTTTTTTTCATGCATAAAACTGTAGATTATTTTATTTTGTTATAAAACAAATTTTACAACTGTAAATTGCACAAATACACTTTCGGTTTTGCATTTCTTTTTTTTATGTCTGTAATTGATAATGATGGACAAAAATAATCGGGTCATATTCTCATTGATTATTTACTGACCTAGAAATTGTTTTATCCTGAAGAAATTTATATTTTTCAGATGACTTTTAATTATGTCTATTTTTGTGCCAAATAATTTTCGTGTTATATTTTACAGGGGAAAAAAAGGAAAAAGATTCTGTCTATTATTCGCATAATCTATTCAGGAGGATATATAAAAAACTTTACAACCTATCGCTTCAAAAGACATGAAAAGTACAATCCGTAACATTACAATGACTGGCAATATGCATTGAAAAAGAAATTTGCTGAAATATTCCGTGCTCGGAATTCCATACTGTACTCAACATATAATACTGAATAAAGCCATTATTAGTCAAATTATCGTTATTATTATTACTGTAACCTTACTCTCACTACAATTATACACTAAATTTATTTGTTATAACAGCACTATAATAGTGAGCGAGCACTGAACAAATGTTTCGTCTAGCGTGAGGCAACTGACAATTTCGTACCGACAACTTCGAGTTAGATTGAACCAAACATTTTTTGTTGAATTCCTTTTCTTCTAAAAGTATCTACAGAGTGTATATAAGTTTCAACAAAACTATTCCTTGTTTAGTAACTCCCAGAATTTAAATATGTTTTCTAGTGAGAGGTCATGTCCCCATCATCACCTTATCACGATACCAAAGAAAGGCGATCTCAGCAAGTTTGAGAACTACAGAGGCATCACTCTTATCTCGATACCTGCCAAAGTCTTCAGCAGGGATTTATTAACCAGAATGAAGGATTCAGTAGACGCCCAACTTCCGGATCAGCAGGTTAAATTCTGCATGAATTGATCATGTACCGACCAAATTGCCACATTACGGATCATTATGGAACAAACAGTTGGGTGGAATTCACCGCTGTACATAGACTTCATTAACTACGTGAAAGCATTAGACAGCGTGGAGAGAATGACATCATGAAAGCTTCTTTGACACTATGACGTGCCCGAAAGGATAGTCACCATCATACGCAATTCTTATTATAGATTAAACAGCAAAATTGTGCATGCA